AGATCTTTCCCACCCGCCAGGCTCCAACGATCCTGGAGCGCAGCAGGATAGCAATCTAGGGCGGGCTGCGACAGTCCCACGCCGCGAGGGTCAAAGCCGAGCACGTCGAACAATCCATTGCTCATTTCTTCCGAAAGTGTGCTCCCGCCACCAAAAACCATTCCCACACCACTTCCCCCGGGGCCCCCGGGGTTCACCACGATGGTTCTCGCGCTCTTGGCTCCAAGACCGGACACTTGATATTTGTTGACGGCCAGGCGCTGGATTCGCGTATCCGACTTGTTGAGGTAGTCCATGGGGACGTCCATGTATCCACAAAGGTAGAGGCCCCTTTCTTTATACCGGTCGGTGGAATTCGAGGAACCAGGTGTTGTCGAATTGTCAGGCGCTTCACCCCAAACCCACTTGTCCGGGTTGGGGTCAAACGCCTTTTCCCACGTCTCCTTGGGATTTGTATCGTTCAGCAGCGGGATGCCTTCGATAGTGGTGTTTGAGAGGCAAGGTATAAAGTTGAAGGGATCATCCGGCTTGGGGAACTGTCCTGTTGCGTTGGCGGGCTTGGCCTCACGACGGTGATGGGGACCTGCAGGCGAGGCTGCCACGGACGGCACCAAAGTCGGCTCAATACAAATGCCCAGAATGGCCAGTTTGGTCAGGAGTTCCAGGGAATTGCCTTCCAGCATGCGAGACATGGAGCCATCCGCAGGCTTCATCTTGTACGACTTGTATATAAAGATTGTGTATAAAGAGAGAATGAGCGGGCTTCAAGAGAGAATGAGTAAAGCCTTGACTGTGCAGAAATTCAATCCAGAGGCTGGGAAGCTCAAGGTCTTAAATACTCTGTTTGGGGCTTGTTTTTCACCGAGATGCGGACGTCATATTTCAAACATTGTTCATTTTCGGTACTTGGGAGCTGATGTGTCACAGAAACACAGCCGGCTCCGACCCACGCTCGACGTTGATATCCGCCGGTGCTCAATGCAGTAAAGCCGCATGAACGTCCAGATATCCTGGTCCGGTCTGGTCTGAATTGACGGCTATGCGGAGGACGGCATGTGGTAAGGCTGTGCCTCCCCAAGTGCGTAGGGCCGCCGCCATTTTTGCCTCCACAGAAAGCCCAGGCTCGGGGCCACCATGTGGCGTGAATGCCGTCATGGGAGTTGTTTAATATTGATACCTTATTCTTCTTTGTTTGACTTTAGCAGCGATAGTAGTAGTGTGGCTAATAGTGCTCCAAGCCACGTAGATTTAAATAGCTTGATCGTCATCATCCCGCTTACGGGCTGCTCTTCTTTGGGGTCTCGCCCAATTTAACTGCGCTATTATGCTTATTTCCACGAGACATGACCGCCGCCACCGCAGTTAGTCTGCGAATGAGCTACCAAGCCACCCATGCGTTGCAACATTGGCGAGTCTGCAGTGTATGAAAACATGGCAGCACGAGTCAGCATCAAGGTTCTATCAGCCTTGTGGAGAGAGCACGCAGGCAGTGTCGATCGTTGGCACTTTGGTTGCCAAGAGTTTATGGGACATTTGGAACCAGGCGCAGCAGAGACAGGGTTGCAAAGCTTCTCGAATGTAGCGTCCAGATGCCGATCCCCGGTCAAAGCGTCCATGAGAGTTCCCTCATGTCCATGCCGCATGTTATCGACGCACGCGTTCTCGGTCCATGCGACTGGCTCTACCAACGCCCGGTTTGTATGCTGTACTGCACGGACATGGTGGCACGTCTATTGGTGACCAAGTTTGCTAAATCACTGGGCGACTATGCCTTTATTTCATCGTCTGCTGAAAAGGAGACATGAGAGGCATTTCACGAATATCCCTAGCTCAGTGGAAACAGAAAAGAGCAAAAGGGAATCAAGACAGACTAATAAATAGCTAACTAGCGTAAATAAATAAATAAATAAATGAATGAATGAATGAATAAATCAAGACAGACTCAGTTTCCTGTTCCTTAGCTGTAACCTCACTTTACCTGACCAGAGTCTAAGCTTCAATGAGAAGCTTTGGCATGGATTTCGTTATGTCTAGGCTATCCCGAACAATCGTGCCATGTGGTAGATGCTTTACTGGCATACAAGTCATTTAATTGGACACTTTGTCGTCCTTCTGCTGTATTCTGCCTTGAGAGAATCATGTCATCTATTTCCCTGTTAGAATAGGTTTATCCTAGCCTTTTCGACCTTTTCCCAAGTCTCATTGTATAATGTCCCTAGTATATACCCTCCGGGATGACTGGCAAGTACCGCTCCAGCGGCATAATTAAAGTCAACAGTTACTTCGCCTCACCACGTGCCACCTGCACTACGCTACTTGCTACATTGATTCATACAACGGGTGGCCAACTGGCGCCAGGGGATCCTGGACTGGTTCTTGATCAATCAGATGCGTTCGTTCGGAAATCGGGACAAGACCGCATTGTCTTGGCGCGCTCTTGGGGAAAGAAGTGACGATGCCCATTTCCTAATTAGGTTAACGTGGCCGCAATAATTGTCCGCCCCCGGCCCACGTACGGGGAGAGACATGTACCTGGACCTTTAATCAACCTATGTTTGCTTGGTAGGCGTTCTGTAGCCTCAGGGAATTGGGCTCCAATGAACTTGTAGCCCTGCAATTCATGCGCTGAAATGTTGCGGCGTCGTATGTCAACCTCGGGAGATTCCATCGACTAAACAAGATTAAGGGTCTACATGAGTAAACATGGGGCAATAGCCATCTCAAGTACGACTAATGCTAAGGCCATCGCAAAGAAAACATGCTCAGCTTGTGTAGGAATCAGACCACATTATTCTATTGACAGAGGCACTCTTCGAACGCTCGTGATATCTTGGGATAATGGTTACGTACCTCTTTCGGGCGTTCAACTGTTGAAACTAGCCTTCTGCTTCACCCAGATTTATTCGTTGGCAAAAAAATCACAAACCGTGGCTACATGCGGGTATTTGTTACCCATGCAAGGTCTGCTTACTTACGGACTGAGTGAACTGTTTTTTAACATGTTCCTAACCACTTGGCCGTATTTGCGACTCCGGTCGCCCACATGAACCTTTTCATGCTACATTAAATGCCCTCTCCCATCGCTACCATGAATGTTATGAATTGCATAAGTCTCTTCAAAGCTGACCCTTGGAGTTTTTAATACTTGGTGCTCGTAGATTTCGTCATCAAGAAACTCGCCAAAAAGTATTTCACCAAATTAGGTTACTAGCTATCGCTCTCTACACTATCATTTATTATGGTAGATTTGTGTATACTTGTTGATAAGGACACATGTCCTGCTACTTATATTGCTGCTGCCCACCGGTTCTAGCCTGTTCAGCCTAGCAACTACCACTTTATGACCCCTTTATACCCTCATCATCTAACCTGTGCGAGGGGTTAGCCCGTACCCCTTCCGGCGGCGCCTTGTCTAGCAACTCTGTATTAGTACATGTGACACGGTTTCTCTGTATTTTGCTCTGTGAAATGCTCTTATTCTGATGACAAAGTTCCCACCTAGCCATTTTGAAACTTGCGGCGTTGAATCGCAAAAGTAGGCAAGGGTAGGAAAAAGTTGATTGAAGGTCTAAATAGTCCCTGTATTAGCTAGCAACGTTGAACCGTTGACACAAGATTACATGAGCTTTTACGGCCACCTTCCCCCAAATTAGGCAAGTGCCCCTTGGCAGAAACTATCGCTGATTTTTGAACATGTAACAGCCGCTAGTCTAAATCAAGCTATATGTTCCACTCAATAAACCCTTTACTTCTTTTTACGGTGCGCATTTCCTTACTAGATTCCACAATCTTTTATAAGCTTCTCTCGCCAGCTTTTCTTATAAGCGGGCGTAAAGGGTGTATCTTTTTTTTTCATCACATAAAATAATCTTAATGAGAGAAAAATAAAGGAAGAAAAAAAATAGAAGGGGCGTGTTATGGCGTTGTAAAAGGATGCTGTGCAGCGACTCTTGCATGTTTAGTTGCCCCTATCGCACCGTGTGCAGCCACCTGGTATCTAGTATGCAGAATCATAAACCATCATCTATAATGAACTTGTTCTAGTTTATAGAGAAGAAGAACAACCAACTTGATTTGACTTTCTAAGCAAAGTACACGTTTCGCTGCGATATTGTGCCACCGTAGTTCTGGCAGAATGACGGCGTCTTTATCAAGAGCTTGGAGATTGTCGTGTCACGCACAAAATGCCAAAAAGCGGATGTGGGCACGCCAGGGTATTTTATGTTTCCCTATACTGTGTGACATGTTTTCAGGCTCGCATCGTCCGTCGTTGACACAAACCCCACGATTGGTAGTACCTTGTCCTTATGGCGGCGGTGTGAGTAGATGATTAGCTATTTCAGTGACCTACATGTGTCTAGTTACTTCTCTAATACGCCGTTAAGACGGTACAAATTCTAATCACGCCCGACACTGATATGTGGCTGTGGTAACCGCCACGGCGTCTAGTCTATTTTTTGAATCATGACTGCCCGTCCACCTGGTCAAAGCCAACCAACGACCAGCAGCCAACACAATTCTTTGAAACAATGCGAAAACGCGCAAAGAGACGGCGAGTGAGAAACATCACTTGGAAAGACCTCTGTATACTTGCTACCTTGTCTGATCAGAGACGGGACACGGGAAAAATTGACCGGCCACACCTTTTGGCTCCTCGCTTTTCGAAGTCATTCCGCCCATGTCTTGCACATTCTATTCTCGGTGTACAAGTTCAGCAAGGCAGGGACATGTCTGGGCGAATGTCGAGGAATTCACTTACTTCTCACCGTTGCAGTTCCGCCAGTGTACAATAAATTGGCCATGCAGGGACATGATCAATTTGTTACCCTTGCCCCTTTTCGGCGTCCTCAAGAGCCGGGCTGATCTTGCCGACAATGTCATCAGCATGCTCAAGGCCCACACCAATCCCGATTATATGACGCCATGTTGATGGAACTTTGTTTGAGCACTGCCACATCACCAGGGAAACAATACACGCTCTCGTACTGAATGGCCAACTGGCTGTGGATCATCGTACCATGCCGCGAGTTGGGGTTCACCACAACGCTTGGATGATGTAGACTCCTTGGCATTTTTCATACCACGTTGTTGACGGAAAGGGCGTGTCAAACCTGCCGCCCGTTACATCTGTAGCCCCGCTGAGCATCTCGGACAAGATGATCAAGTCTACGTCCACGAAGGGCAGCTTGTCAAGATTGACAAAGTTACCCGGAGTCTCGTGGCAAACAACGATGAAGTTGTACTCGTCAGCTAGTAGCCGGATTTGCCCGAGATTCGGTGAGATGAAGTTGATATTGCTTGGAATCTCGTAGAAGAGCGCGGTGATATGGTGGCCGGGATTCTTCAGCATATGCTCAAGCTCATCCAACTCCCTGTCGGTGCCCCATTTCAACGAGATTGCTCTGTTCCAAGGAGACCTTGGTAGCACATGTACCGTTTCGGCATAGAACCTGACCTTCACAAGACATGTTAGTGAGTAGGTTGTACCGGGCAATTCTCTTGTCCCTGGGGAGAGCAAAGATTTCTACCCGTAGACAACGGCGTCCGATTTGGGAGCAAGAGCCGCTAGTGGTTCAAATGAGGAGAAGATGGCATTCATACCGGTCGAGAAAAAGCAGAACGTCCTCTGCGCTCACCCGCTTGAGCTCGGTGTGCCCTGAAGTAACAAGACGCGTAATGTAACCCCGTACTTGCAACAGATCGTCCGGCGCAGATGGAGGCCACTGATTCAACGTTGGACTTTCATGATGCCTCTGAAGTGGGGGCAACTCTTTGAAGTATTTTACAAAGACAACCCTGATATTCAACCTATGGTTCTATATTTCATCGCGACGGTTTTCAACTCTTCCCCGGCCCATTGCCTTTTTCCTTTCAAACCAATCATCGCATTTTATCGAATCCATATTTGTTCGTTGTCCGAATGCGACGCCTTTGGCAGCCGCGTACGTTGGATCTTCAGCGATGTGCAGCTCAATCCTCGGAGCCATTCCAGTCTCGGTAACCCTACAAGCTGGGTCTTTTTGCATGTCTGTAATTATTCTCCTGATCGCTTCTACAGCTTTTGGGTGATCCGCAGCCTCGCCTGACCCGACGACAAGGAAGCTTTCTCGGTAATTGTAAGGTTGCTTGACATATTCTGTGACTCGGGACTCGAGATAGTCCTGAAGCTCACGCCAAAACATCTCTTGGTCACTTGCCTGCTCCAGTTGGTTCAAACCGAGACGGGGCTCAATAGTTACGCGTTTCGATGTGGATAGTAGGTTCCCCATCTAATAATGAGGGGAACACTCACCTGACCAGATACACACATCATATTTGTGAAATTTCTCGCCCATTTAGAGGAACGAGGGAGAATAATACCAGGGAATGGGTCTTGGAACGAGGCATTGTTGGCGCTGGACCCTAGCAAATACCAGGGCAAGAGAAGGACGAAGTGAGGCCAAATCAAGCAAGGTGGCTAGCCAAGGAAAGAGACTTGAACGTTCCGACTTTGTCTCTTTTATCACACAGGCATAGCAACTGAAAGGCATCTATCCGGGACGCACATCCAAAAGATCATGGAGGGTATTGATGGAATTTGATGCTACCAGACTAGCCCGTGCAATTATTGGGCTCCATAGCGACTCGATCGCGCGAGAGTTAGGGTTAGGGTTAAGAGCAGGGCGCGGACGCACCCCGACCGAGCCTAACCTTGAAAATTCCATCGCCTCGACTCCTCCAGACATTAATACGACGGCCTATGAGAGAGTGAAGAATACATGGGTAAGAAGAGGAATATGGAATAAGAATTGGGGTATACTGCCCGGCATGTCGTGGAAGCATGGACAGTCCATCGAGGACATGCTACGCGAGGAAATGGGTCATGATTCTGTCCCTCGTCAAGTTGGTGCGGTTGAGGACAGGCACGGACCTAGCGAAGCACCTCCCTTATTTGGGGCACATCCGAACGAACAGATAACATCCTCGTTCCCATCTTCACTCTACAACAACAGCCATGAACCGCTGAGAGTGCATGCGGAACTGAATCGAGTCGCGTCTCCATTACCGGTTGCAGCAAATCGTGACCACGTCCTGGGCCACATGGACGAGCCTCCTCAAGAAGCATGTCCGGGCGGCGATCCTGTGGTATTACCGAATGGAAATAGCAGTCAGCCTTCCGCTGCATCAAGTCCAGAACGCTACCACGCAAAGAATAGAGAGACTAAACGCGGACACTCTACGTTGCCGTCGAGGGCGCGACGAGGCGAGAGAGAGCTATCCGTCGAAGCTGGGCCTGCTCCAGAAATATCACGTACCGATCTTGGTCCAGTTCGTCCGTCCAAGTTTCCAAACCCCGCAGAAGGAACGGGGCTTCCACCAGACGACGACCAGACGGCTCTGGAGAGACTGAGGTACAAAAGGCGTTTTCTGTACCAGATATCGCTTCCTCCCCCCTTGTGGATTCTTCTGTACAGCCTCGAAGGAGTAGATGTTTGCAGGAGGCCAAGCGCGAAACGGACGCAGACTCCTCCGTCGGAGGAATCAGTAGTAGCAGTTCAAAGTCTGCGAAGCCTCATGGAATAGTTAAAAGACGTTCGCGAACAATTCGGCATAGGACGAGTTAGGCCTGACGAATATTTCAAGTGGCTGGTCCGCATCCTACGGGGGAGGTCCGGTGTTCGTGACCTGAAACGAACTCCCTCCGGCTCAGATGAATGTCTCCGAGCTCCGATGGAATGATACAAGTAACGAGATCGAAGAGTGAGCACTGACTTCTAATCCAGTCACGGACTCCTGCGGCCATGGGTACTGACCGAAGAAGGCTGGCCCCTTCACATATGACCGTCTTGATATCGAGGATATCATCGAGCCAACATTATGTGCGCCGTTGGCATGTGCTTCTCCCCTTTGGTACATAAGACGAGCCCATCCCGCAAGTCCCCGTCACGAACGTCGTGCTTTCCTCCCGTCAACGGTAGCAACTATCTAGAAGTACTCCGTAGACGGATAAAACAATCTTGGGTGTGGCGCTCAGAACTATATAATTGTACAAGTATTAGAAACAGAAGGCCAACACATAGTGTTACCAGATGTAATACTTGCTTGATGACTGCACGAATATTTGTAATTTTTTTTTTTTTTTCGAAAAAAAAAAAAAAAAAACATGCATCTCTACTTCGAACCTGTTAATAACGCTGCCCCACCTAGTGGAATAGTGGCCCCACAAAGAGCGGCTCAGGCCGAGTAGCCGCTTCCTACCCCCCTGCCCTTACGAAGCTAGGTAGTTGTCCCTAAACCTTGACGCTATATGCGAGAAGATAATTTGCAACGGGGCACAGACACAACTAGAGTGTCATATATATATAGGTAGATAGTGGCCCTATTAGAGGGACCTCTACCGGGCGTAATAAATTTTGTGTCTGAGTATAATTCGCCGAAGTAGTTGACTTTATTAAATAAACCCTTTAGTTTTATTTCTTTAATAAAAATCCCTCCATGTTATATTATAGTAGATATAACTCTTATATAATATGAATTTATTACATCGTAGATAAAATAAAGTACTGAGTAGCCTCAGTGGTTCTAAAAAGAACTAGGTTCGCCGTTCGGAAACTCGGGATAATCTCACCCTAAACCTAGCTTAGTCACCGATAATGTGACCGCAATGCCTTCTTAGATATAAAAAAGTTTCTGAACAGCTCACTTCATAAACTAGGGATCTCAGAGCCTTGGTGGTCCGGAAACTCCGGGAATACGGCAAACTCAATTCTTCCTCCCCCCGGATATAGATAGTGTCGTCCCACTATGGAGGCTCACATTTAACTTCCGGGAAACGATGGAAAGCTAACCAGCTACACTGATTTTGGTAGGTGGCTAGGGAAATATTCGATTCGAAGTGCCCTATTATCGATTGGAGCCTACGCACTGGCAGCAGCATGAGGGTACGCGTCTGGTGGATATTGTCGCCAGCTCAGGCAGTAGTATAAGAAGATTCTTCCGTTGAGCCAGGTTATGAGGACGACGCTCATGGATACCGAAGTATAAATCGCGAGAATCTTTTTCGGTAGTTTTGGTCAAAATTAACAGGGAGACCAGGCTTGAGGTTGCGACATATCAGACTTTCGACCCTACTTGGCAGTCGTCGTCTCCTGTCTGTGGCAGCATAACCGCTGCAGTGCACCACCATAGTACCTTTCCACTTCTTTAACCAAGTACTATTAGCATCAAGGTATCATTGCCATTAGTGTTCTCCCTTATAGCTCTGTTGGCCTTTGCCAACTCGCAGATAACATTCCAAAATGCCTCCAACACTATCCTCTTACGGCGAGGCGCCGGGTCCATACCGCTTCATACACTCAAATTCAACCTTGCATAGCTCAAAACCAGAGTGAACGGCGTCTTAAGCCGACTGTTGTTGCTCGCTGCATGGGTATAATGACTGAATGCAGACCATGATGACGGTGGCGACGAGGACTCGATTGCTAAACAAGACTCAAGACAACTGAGATGACCGCTTGTTGCTTCGGCCCAGCCACGAATATTCCAAGGCCTCTTTGTGCTCCCTATGCCATCTTTTCATCCATAATTCAAAAATCAGAGCGCCCCTTTATTCTACATGTCTCATATTATTTTCAGTTCAACCTGGCGATTGTAAACTCCCGTATATTATAAAACTACGCCGAGGCATCCACATTTGATAAGATACAGTAATGAAAAAGTCAACCAAACCCCCTATTTGTCCATGGCACTCGTGATCTTGCGCATTATCCTGGCAGGGCTCCCTGCGACAATATGGAATGGAGGGATGTCCTTTGTCACGACACTGCCGGCTCCGACCGTGCATCCCCGGCCAACTGTGACACCACCAAGGATGACGACGTTCCCTCCGATCCAGCAATCTTCCTCGACGGTAATGGGCTTCTCGGTAAACGGCCCCAGGTCGCCGTTGCGTATGAGAGGGTCGAGATGATGCGATCCACAGTAGAAGCTACAATTTGGTCCCACGACGGAGCGTGCCCCGATGGTGACGGGCGCGCCATCGTGAAAGGTGCAATTCCAGTTCAGATACGTTCCCTCTCCCAGCCGGACATTGAATCCGTATTCCGCGCGTACGGGCGCCATGACGCATGGCTCGCGCGCCAGCAAGGCCTCGTCTTCTGCTTCCGTGGCTGGTCGCGGTGGAAGGGGTTGCTCGTTCAATGTAAGGCTGTGGCGCGAGTTATATGCAACTTTGGTTAATGGGCACACGGGACATCTGGACCAAGTCGGGGCCTCTTCTCACCTTCTCCAGAGTTCTACCTGGTTACGTCGGGAATAGTCCCTCGAGTCGTTGAGCGCATCGCAGGCGCGCATACACCGCTGCCGCGCGGCCATCAGCTCTGGCACATTACCATTGTACGCCTCGCCCTGCTGCGCCTTGATCCACTCTATGGAGTGCAGGAGTTCCTGTTTGACGTCGGACTGGGCCATGATGGACGGGCAAATGGATGCCAAGAAGTTCCTACTCTTGCATTTCCCCCAGAGAATGGAGGTCAACATTGAAGAATTCAAAAACGAAAACATGCTGGGCCAAGTCATCGCTACTGCTTTGCATGCTATGCTGTGGTGTTTGCCGGAACCCGCGGGTCATGCGATACCTGGGTTAGGGTTGGGGCTGAGTACCTGGGTGGCTGTTGGACGGCCGCGGGTAGGTGCCGCTTGGAAATCAAATTGTCGGCGGGACCCAATCCCCGCGGTCCCGCCAAGAGTCGGGATCTAGCCGCATGTGTCTCGGCACATGTTACCTGGTAACGTGTGAGTAAAGCAAGCGTGGCGCCATGGATAAGCGGGCATTGATCAATTGATCAATGGATAGTTGATACTTGACTATTCGGCGGCTGAGACGTCTAGATAGCCACATCGCCTGGTCAGCTGGTAAGAACAAGCACATTGAAGCCATGCTCCTTCCATCGCCCGCGGGATGCCGTTGGTTTCTACAAATAACAGCTACATATGTACTCTATTCTCTCTATAATAACTTTTATTTTTATGTTTAATTTTATTTTTATTTTCTCATGAACGTCTTTATATAAACAACCTCAAAACAGGCTGCGATCTATACCATGCACCATGAGTGTTAAACACCCCTTGGATTTGCTTTCCGCGGATGAAATTCGGATCGCCAGCGCGGCTATTAGACGCGCGCGTAAAAGTCCTTTGTTTTTTCGGAACATCTTCAACCTTGAGCCTCCCAAGGCCCAGCTCATCCCTTTTCTCGACACAGAGCATGCGGGCACTCTCTGTGCAGGCACCCCCCGACCCCCTCGTCGCGCTCGTGCTCAGTACGACGTGATTGAGCATGATGGGAACCGATATTACATGGAATCCACCATAGACCTGGCTACAGGCGAAGAGGTAGACAAGCGGCGCCTCCACCCAAAACAACGAGCCTCGTTTACCGTCGACGAGTTCCAAGAGTTCATTGACCATGCCCTCGCCAGCCCGATATTCCAGAGCGCCGTGGCAGAGATGGAACTTCCGTCTGGCTGGGAGGTGGCCATTGACCCCTGGCCATATGGCGGCTCGGATTTTGGAGACGACTACACCACTCGCTTGACGCAGCTATTCTGCTTTGCTAGAGACATGACCAAGGGCAATGATGACGTGAATCATTACTCCTTCCCACTCCCCATCTGCGCCGTCATGGACACAGCCACCAAGCAACTTGTTCGTGTCGAACGGCTCCCCACGGGAGGGCATGGTGACCAAGATGATGATTTTGCTGTGAAAATCATTGGACCCGGTTTTGCTGCCCCCAAGAAGCCCACGGAGCACTGCGGACCGGCAGATTATGTGCCAGAGATGCTCACTCAGCCGGTGCGCTCCGACTTGAAACCGCTGAATGTGCTACAGCCAGAGGGCGCCTCCTTCACCGTGACGGACAACAGCCTGCTGGAGTGGCAGAAGTGGCGGCTGCGCATCTCCTTCACGCCCCGGGAATGCGCCGTGCTCCATGACATCCACTTCGACAACCGCAGCGTTCTGCATCGACTGTCCTTTAGCGAGCTGACGGTGCCTTACTGTGATCCCCGGCCCCCTTACCACCGTAAACAGGCCTTTGACTACGGCGACGCCGGAGCCGGCCGTACCGCAAATAACCTCGGACTGGGCTGCGACTGTCTAGGTGCCATCAAATACCTGGATGCCACCCTCGTCACACCCACCGGAGAGCCCTCCCTTGCTAAAAATATTTGCTGTATTCACGAAACCGACGACGGGATCCTATGGAAACATACCAATTTAATGACGGACCGTGCTGTTGTGGTGCGTAATCGCAAGCTGGTCATCCAATATGTCATCACGCTGGGTAACTATGAGTACATCTTCTCCTACCAGCTCGACCTAGCAGGAGGCATCTATCTCGAGACGCGTCCCACGGGAGTCATGTCGCCCGTAGGCATCGACCAGGGCAAGACGTCGCCGTACGGCACCGTCGTGGGGCCGGGAGTTTTGGCTCAGAACCATCAACACATCTTTGCCGTGCGCATCGACCCAGCCATTGACGGGCATGCCAACACGGTTACCATGGAGGATTCCGTGCCCATGCCGATGGAGCCGACAAAGAATCCATACGGCAACGGCTACGAGGTGCAGTCCACAATCATCACCAAGTCCACTCACATTGACGCCTCGCCGTTGACCAACCGCGTGGTCAAGATATCCAACCCCTCCAAGACCAACCCGATCTCTGGCCGCCCGGTGTCGTACAAATTTGCCCCGGCACCGACGCAACTGCTCATGGCGGATGCAGCATCCGACATTGGCCGCCGCGCCAAGTTTGCCAGACACCACGTCTGGGTGACGCGACACGCCGACTACGAGTTCTGGGCTGGCGGCGAGTTCACCAACATGTCACGCGAGGAAGAGGGAGGCTGCCATGACGCCGCGGCCCGCAATGACGACGTTGAGAATACCGACGTCGTTGTGTGGGCCGTTTTCGGCTTCACGCATTCTCCTCGCGTGGAGGATTGGCCAGTCATGCCCGTGGAGCGTCACGAGTTGCATCTGCGGCCGGTTGACTTCTTCGACGCCAACCCGGCCTTGGATGTGCCCAGCCATCGCAATACAGCGTCTGTCTTGGTGGACGGCGAGTGCTACGTGAATGGTGCTTGAATCATATTGTCGTGCTGGGTGCAAGGTGGCAGTGACGAGTAGATGGTGGAAAGTCTTCACTCACTCATACATCACCATCTGGAAAAAAAAGAAAAAAAAAAAGAAAATACGTCTACGTGGATTAAACACCCCGAGGACGGAATAAGAATGTTCAAATTTGTAGATAGTCGCAGGTAGGGCCTGTCGTATTGCCCTTTCGTCACCAGTCAAGGATGGTATGAAGATCCCCAGTCAGAGTTGTGCTTGATTCCTAGCTACCTAAGGTATTTAAGAGACGTGTATGGTTCATCATATCTATACACATTCTGAGGCAGCCCATGCATGACCGGCGGGTGCCTGTCGCAACACAGGCAACACCGGTACCTATGATGGTACTATCGGGACACTGGAGGAAGATTACGCATTGCAAAGACACGCCTATTGTCGTCAGCCTCGCAACTTTGCAATGCAGTTGTCTAGCAAGTTGGCGGCTTCTGTCAACAGCTCCCATCGCGTCTTGACAAACCCGTCGCGCAGAACCATCAACAGACCCAGACACCGGTTGCGCCGTCGCATGCCTTGTAGATCGTGAGGAGACCGCACGCCGCCCACGCGCTTCAGGAACTCGAGCATGTCGCGGCGCTGTTCTGCCGCCGTCGCCAGAGCAGGCGGCAACGGGATCGGGCCATCCGCCGCAAACCCATAACACCACACGACCAGTGCCGCCATGTACATGACCCACGGCCGGTTGAGGTTGTAGTCGTCCCGTCCCGAGTAGGCGTCCTCGTCCTCGGAAGCCCCGGTTAACAAACACTGGGACAGGAACTTCAAGGCGTAAAAGGCGGCTTCGCGGGCCGAGGCTTCGACGGCCCATCGCTCCGCCATCTTTTCAACAGCGGCGCTGCTCTCTCTCGACTGTCCCGTGCGCTGGACGGCGCCGGCAAAGCTCTGGCACTCGGCAATGTCTATATGCGATGCCATGTGGGCGAGGCCGTGCAGTACGCCGCGCGTTTCGGTGAAATAGTTGTCGCCGGGCGGGCGCCGGGCCCGATATTCACAGCCAAAAGTTGGCGTTCCGTTCTGTCCAAGGGCATCGTCAAAGGCACGGAGCAGTGCTGACCGCCGAATGTCTCGGCCGCCCAACGACGGTGGAACGTCAAGGGAGCACGCCTGTGGCTCCCGCTGCTTCATATGCCACAAGACGCTGAGCAAGCCCGTCATGATAATGGACCTCCCGAGGGCGTCGGTGCGCACTCGCCGTCCCTCAAGAGTTTCTTTGAGCCCGTCTAGGAACATGTTGGGCTTCGCACCACTCGCTCGCAGGCTGGACTGCACCCGTACCACTTCGGCCGCACTGGTCGCCGACCATAATGCCTCATCGCAGGGGAGCGGTAGCCGAAGCTCGTGCGCCGTCATCTTGGCAGGGTGTCCAAACATGGCGGCGTGTGTCGAGTCCAGAACGAAGGCTGCAAAGACGACCCTCCGTGTGGCTTCGGCCTTGATCCAGTGTGTCCAGGATTCGTCCAGCGCAGAGTCGGGCGTCATGTTCGAGCCCGGCCGGTCATCTGTCGAACTGGCCTGGGGAGAGTCCGCGGAGCGCCCGACGAACAAGTTTCCGCGCCGCATTAGAGTTAGTGTGGTGTCATGATGGATGTGCGCCCGGTCGTGCAGGGAGCGGGTGGAATACATTTTCTCGTGGACCTCGATGAGCAGCAGGGCCTGGTATACCCAGAGCTTGGTCGGAGCCTGAAACTCGGTGTCCATGAACACCTCCCACCGAAGATGCCAGATGATGAAATTGGCCAACTCGGAGACAGTTTCGGTTACTTCTGGGCCGTGGATACGGTCCAGCGTCGACGCGCCGATGGCGATTATAGCCAAAAGAAGGAGGTTGGGCGCGTGATCGGCGACAAAGGCCGGGCGATGCAGGATGGGCAACTGCGGATGAAAGTGGTACCAGTACGACTCGATGTACGTTCGCGTCATGCGTAGACTTAGGATGTGGTTATCGTTATTCACGTCACCGTCCAGGAAAGACTCTGTGCGACTGGCCACTGTCGAGTACGCAGCTTTGTTGAATCGCGTCGCCATAAGGTGTAGGAGTTCCTGGAGCTTGTCGTCCGACATGATGGTACGTGGCGACCTGCGATCTGGCGTCCTCGCAACACTCATGGGTCGGTCTGAGATGCCTCCGCTTGATAACATGCCATGGGTCCTCTCACGCACACCAAGCTGAGTTTGAAGCTGAGCAGCATCCAGGTAGCTGGGGATTACGCCTGTCCATGACGGATATGCGACTGATGACGAGGGTACAGATGATTCGTTGAACAACCACGCGGTGAAATCATCCTCCACGGCAAAAGGAGGCTGGCTGTAGGTCTCAGTACCAAATGTCGGGAGGCTAGACGAGGGGAGGGGGTCGAATCCTGGGTTTACAACTGCCAAGCCGGAGGCTGTTGAACACAACATGGAATCCAGTATATTCAGTCTTGCGTCTTGGCTTTTTGATGCCGACTCCGACGAGGTTACCGGCGCGAGGGGTATATCCGAGTATTCATTGATGGAGATTGGAAAGCCCGGGTGTGCCGTGGGTGAGCCACTCAGCTCATTAGGGATTGAAAAAAGGGTGCGCATGTCCTGAGATTGACTGGCGAATGCTCCAATTGATTCAGGCATGGAGGATCGAAACTCGTCGCCGTGGCCAGGCTCACATGAGCCGACGGACGTGGACGCCGGGCGCTGCCCTTGAACCGGATTATGCGAGGCATCCTGTCTACCGGGGAGGCTACACGTCTGGCTTGGCAGAGAACTTGGGTGCTGCAAAGCTAGTTGCTGAAAGCTAAACACTCGGTTCGCCCTGGTCAATGGGGAGGATGGTATCAACAGGGCGCTATGTTGATTTGCCTGGTTACCTGCCTGGGAATCCAGCGATCCTGCCCTCGATAGCCGACGCGATGGGGGATTGGCATTGGAGGAAGGGATCGTCGGAGGTTGAGGGATTGGCGGACTGGTGTTTCCGGAGGACATCTGGGAGAAGTAATTACCGTCCTGCAGTCTGGACTCTCGCCTCTTGTGCCGTTCTCGGTGCCGGGCGAACAGGTCTTGCCGCACAAATACTCGGTAGCAGCCGAGGAAGTCACACGGGTAGATCTTCTTGGGGGCATCTATTGGCAGCCGTTGAATGCCCGAGGTTGAGCGCTCAGCGTCATGTTTGTTTCGAGGAGATGATGAACATACGATTTAGTTGATGGCGATATAGATGCCCCGCACGAGAATAGCTCTTGTCGCAGCCTTCAACGTTGCATTGAAATGTACGATCGAACTGGGCCTTGCCTATCGTGTTTTGCGTTTGTGAAGTTGTCTCAATGCTCGCTGGTTGGGCCGTCTCGCTGTCCGACAAGGCCACCGGTTCATCTTGTTCTATGCCACCGATGGCGCTGTCGAGCGATGCCATGGTGAGGAACCGGATCAAAGGAAGAAATCCAAGTGTTAGTGAGAACTTTGCTGTGCCGTAGGTTGTAAAAAGGAGATGAAATGAAGCAAGTTCGAATGGAGCGGCCTTTGGGCATTGGCTGCGGTGGCCGGGTTGGCGTCTCGTCCCGGCCGCATCTCCTTTGCAACAGCTTCCCGGACAGGGCATCTTGGGCAACAAGACGGCATCTAGTCAGAGATTGATAGTGTATCACATATGTCTTCTCCGCAGCATGCGGTCGATGCGAGGTTTGGCGTTCGTGTTGCGATTACGACTGACTTGAAGAGAGTGGATATTTTGGTTGCGAGTCTGAGACCTGCCGTTCGCACCGCATATGTGGTCTTACATTGATACTCTATACCTCTATTATTAGTAGCGCTGCTGGTCAAGAGCTGTCTGGTTTTCGAACTGATTCTTATTGCTACGAGCATCAGGGAACCCGTATGGATTGCTTAGTACGTTTATATAGAATTGCGTACTGCTGCTATGCTACTGTGTTACGATCTAACCAAGCGCATGATAATATTGACATACACAAGGCCATAACCACGATTTGTTCGTAGGATTCAACATCCATTACTCACTTATGCTTCTCTTTATCTACTCTCACGAGACTCGGGATAGACGGGTCAATACCCGCCTTCTTTCAGAGCCAGAACCTGAGCCAATGCTGGCTGGGACGTCCGGACTCTGGACTCTGCAGGCCTGGCTCGTTATCATGCCAATAGAACAATGCCCTCGCGAATAGCCCTCTAATCTCCCCAGACTTATCAAGGAGCCAGCATCATGGAGCCCCATAAGGCTGTGAAACCGGTCGGAAATTCGTGCCTAAGTGGGTTCATGATGCGAGGCCCAGGGATGGACTTGGACTAATATATTACGTGGATAGCTGTCAATATTGAAGGCTATGCTGTGGCACAACCCATCGTGGGCGGCATCAGACTAACAAAGGAGAGCTGAAACCCTCAAGACTGAGGGTTCAAACTTCTCTTTGAGGTTACACGTCGGGGTTGCACCAACGCTCTGCCTGCAAGAGCACAGCCAGTGCAGCCACAATGGCATATACGGAACCAACCCTAGTGGCCGTGGACTACACCAGGCAGGCTCTCTAATCTGCCAGTGGTTGGAGAGAGATGACGGTACACCCTCGATCTCTGCGAGTGACTGTGAGCCTTGGAGATCATTTCGTGGCGTCAATATCAACCAGCTGAATAGGCACAATTTGTGTTCTTCACAACAAAGCCACTCCATGATCCTATCGCCTTTCCCGCTCTAGACATTTGTCTTTGTCTCAAGCCAACGTGACACGACCGCTGTCTAAGTTTGGGCCAATCAAGGCTGCAGCCAGAGGCGCGGGACTTCTTGAATTACAAAATACGTCCTGGAAGTCCCTACGTGCAACCAAGGAAGCCGAAGTAGGTTCCCCACGTAGGCTAGGGTTGCGAAACTGCCCTCGCCGCCAAGTATTCAGCGTCTCCTGAGAATCCACCACGGGTTTGAGTGTCATAGTGTTTACGGTAGTATCGTGGAGGCTGGATTTTACACCGGCACACACTATGCCAGGACAAAAGCTTCCCCAGTATTTTGCCGGGCGATTCTAGGACTGCAAAGTCCCGAAATAAATCTCAACGGGTTGGGTCCACGTTGTAGGTATCGTGAAAGTACCCGAAATGCACCGCCTTGGGTACGTAGTATGCCGTGGACTCGGAACGCCCCATGAGTCAACTTTTGGCATGTTTGCTACCAGAACTAAACGGGGCCGGCATCAAATTGAACCTGTGCCGGTGTACGAGACTCGGCTGTTACGTAGATACGGTGTGCGCGGGCTCAGCCATATGGCATCTGCAAGCTTGCCGCAGTCTTCTGTTCGTGGGACTGACGGGCTTCACGGCAATCAGGGCGGGTACAGGATACAAAGTGAGACAACCATAATGGGTTAGATGCCCAGATCCGCTTGAGTGGGCAATGATATCACTGATAAATTCATTCATGTCCGGTATGTAACAGCACTCCTCGGCGCACAGAATGAAGAATCCGACAGAAGATCCATGAACATAGCTTGGAACTTGGAATAAGCCTGTAAGAATGAGTGTACGTGTGGCCTCTTCTTTCTCACCGTTATTTGTGTGTCTCTTTACCATAGCTTTCCTTTCCCTGTTCGCGGGAGCATCTTTGGAGGCCAGTCTTGAAGAGCTATGGGGTTTCGATGTGAGTATTTGCGTCTCGACCGAAGCGACCCCGACCGACTTTGATTGCGAATAGTGGGCGTTCTCTGGTATTTCAACATTCAACCATCTCCCACATTCACGATGCTTGGTCAATCGCTCCGAAGTCTTCGATGTCGCCATTGTGGGCGTTCCTTTCGATTCTCTTGTTACCTATCGATCAGGTACGCACCGCCCCCGGCTGAAGAAGATGTAGCAGCGCTGACAACTCTAGGTGCTCGCGAGGGCCCCAAGGCAATTCGATGGGCATCTGGGCGCCATCTCTCCGGAAGAAGCTTCCATCCTAGCCTTCACTTCAACCCGTACGAAGAATGGGCATTGGTTCTAGACTGCGGTGACATACCCGTCGTTCCAAACGACCCTGTGCTGGCCATGGAGCAGATGGGTGAGGCCCTCACCGAGCTGCTGTCACACCCCACGTCGCAGGCAAGCCCATGGAGCCATCCTCGGCTCGTGATTCTGGGTGGCGACCACTCGATTGTGCTTCCTATGCTCCGGGCCCTCAACAGGGTTCGGAAAGAGCCTGTGGCGCTTCTCCATTTCGACGCACACATTGATACAATGGCCCCGGACTCGTATCCACGGAAGGCCTGGAAGTCCCAAGCCTCTGAGATCAACCACGGGACGGTGTTTTGGCTGGCCGCCCAGGAGGGCCTCCTTCGCCCGGGCCATCTGGTTCATGCCGGCGTCCACGGCAGGATTTCGAGCCTGCAGGATTTCCACAGCGACGAGTCCATCGGCTTCTTGCGCATCGCTGCCGAGGAGATGGATGATGTAGGCCCGGCCGCTATCATCCAGAGAATCCGCAATACAATCGGGCAGGATGCGCCTGTCTACGTCAGCATCGACATTGACGTGCTTGACCCGGCGTTTGCCCCCGGGACCGGCGCCCCTGAAACGGGTGGCTGGACATCTCGTGAGCTGATGAAAGTCATGACGGTGCTATCAGACTTGAATGTGGTTGGTGTGGACATCGTCGAAGTCAGTCCTGCCTACGACAGCGCTGGGGGCGATACGGCCTTTGCCGCGGCGAATCTTGCGTATGAAGCAATATCACTGATGATTCAGCGTGAGATGAAGAAGGAAAGCTCTGTGGAAGAGTTCAGCTTCAAGGCTGAGAGGACGGAGCTGTAACGGAGCTCGTGAGGAGGAGTCAACAGTTTGTGGCATCTGCCATGTTGCATGTTTCGACCCTGTAACGGGGTGATACTGGCATGGAATGTATGAACGGCATAGCTTTGCATCGACGTCGATCAACTGATATTGGGAAGGGTGTCTGCTAGCCGTATTAGAAAAAGCCCATCCTCTAAATATCAACATCCCCTAGTGTTCAAGAATAGATTATGTCAGTGGAGTATGAGGGGTTGTGATTGCTTAGCAATTCGAGCGTGTACTTTTTGTGATCAATTATCATAGACTGATTTGAAATACTTGTTGTCGCCTAGATGGTGACCGAGTCGTATGCATGTTTTTTTTAGAATAGGCAAACTTGTTGGAATACCTGACGACCATATGAATAGTCATGATGGAGAAGAAAAAAAAAAAGAACTTGCGAGAGAAGAAGCAGCTGATTTTCGCAACACCAAAGTGACTATCCACACAAGTTCACAGGCAGACACATAAAATCAACGTTATCCACCCCGTCCATTCTTCGGATTTCCTTCTTCATCTTGTCCCATACCGCAATAAAACTACCGTTCATAGTATATATGTTTGAATTACGCGATACTATGTAGGGAAAATGATAGCAAGGGTCAACTAACCCTTGCCAGCTCGCTATTAATGGCAATGCAGCGTCCAGTAATGATCGACTGACTATTTAGAGAAGCATCGACCAGTGGGGAAAAGCACAGCGATATACCCGACTGAAACAGTAGACAGTAGGAACTGCCGCCGTAGTGAAAGCTGCCTATTTCCTGGCCCTTTGATACACGGTCTCCTACCTTGACCGTAGCCACGCAGCTCGACACGTCCGACATACCAATGGCTACGAATCCTACGAGGCCTAACCTGGCATCCTCGGCGCTGAGCACAATTACTGTGCGCGTGGCAATGGAGGTTATCAACCTTTGGGATGCATCGGGAGCTTGTCGATCCGGACATGGTTGATTCGTAGAGTCAAGCTTTTCGAACCCATTTGCGGGATCAGCAACGAAGTAAGTTCCCGGGATTTGTAGGACTTTGGTGACTGTGCCGGCAACAGGTGCATGCCATCGATGATAATTGAAAAGAGACAGCCATCCCTGAAAGACGGTACCGCCCGCAAATCCTGATGCTATGGGATCATTGTCAAGCATGTCTCGGAATGAATACATGGTCCCTTTCAACGAATACTGCTGCTGCTCCGGCACGTCTGTCACGAGAGCAAACGGCTGCGACTCGCAGGGGTTGACGATGACACCATCATCTTCCGGGCATGCCACTGGTCTGATGTGCGGCCGAAGTTGACGAGTAAAGAAATCATTCCAGGATTGGAAGCCGTATGATGGGTGGGTCGGGTCGCAGATGAATGCGTCTTCAAAAGATTCCGCCTGGAACGCTGAGTTATGGGCGACGTTGACGGCGAGCAGAAGCTCGTCGCGGGCCTGCTGGGACACCCAGCCACCCTCCCGAGTATGAACGACAGAGGCGGATGCTCGTGAGGATAAAAAATGACCCCATTCCTTCAGAATCGTTTCGAGATAGGAGTTGATGTCGTCGCGAGCAAGGATTTGGGATCCTGTTCGGGTATTCATGAACCAGATCTGAGACAAGTCAGTGGTAAGAAGCACTTATATTAGTAAACCAATGAGACTTACCAATGCTTCATTCATCGGACAGCCAATGACGCAGTCCGACTGCAACATGGACATCCATACTGGTGCCGTCTTGGACGCCCGGTCAATTGCCTGGATCAGTTGGCGATAATCGCGAATCCGCTCGTGGCCGAACCCGTCTGGGGTCTCCTGGAACTGCACAGGGATTTCCCGAAAGGCCTTTTCAAACAGATGAAGCAGCTCGGCATCTTTTTCGATGTGTTGTAGAAGATGGTTAACCGCAGGTGCAAGTTCGTTTTCTGTGCAATGTTGGTCTGCCATGACGGCGGGAATGGAGCCAGGCTGGAATGAGAGGAGATCTGTCTTGGGATTTTGGATTTTGGGAAAATGATTCCATTTCTGCTGCACGGTGACGGCCTGTTTGATGAGCGCAGTGCTCTCTACTGCCAGCGGCCTGCATGATTGCCTCGAGTCCTAGACGCGGACAAACGCCACGCAGATCCCACGACTGATTGATGAACACAAGTTACACCAGAACCCGCGTTCCTCGAGCGGCCCGACTTACAAGTAGCCAATGGGTCAGTCACAGCAAGTAGCCCGCGGGGCCTCGCGGGTCTATTCCTTCTCGCCGCTACTGCCAGCACAGATCTATCGCCGTACGTGAAGAGAGTAGATGCCGGGGTATTGAAGTCATAACCATATTCTTTGAGCAAAACTTAGTGTTTCACTGCCCATTCCTGTACACATATTCTTCGTTTGACTACAATCCTTTGCTAGGAAAGTCTTTGTCTATCCCCTGTTATCCAAATGGCCTCCCGGAGCAACGAGCCCAAAGACGACGAAAAAGGCTCGTCCACTAAAGCGGAATACCACGATAATGCTCCCACGCATCTCAACGGCAGCTCCAAACTGGAAGCCGTGCAGTGCGCCATTTGCGCTTTCAAGGCTAACAAGACTGTCAGCGATGTGATTGACATGAACCGAGTCCGATCTCACTTTCCTGTCCTCGGCGGGAAGACTGTGCCCTTCAACAACGCAGCAGGGACCGTTGTGCTCAAGGATGCCATGGCAGCGTATGTATTTGTTCTTTATGACGAGAATGAATACTTAATGAGATGGACAGGGCGAGTGATGTCATGAATGCAATGCCAATAGACCATGGAGACGGAGGTCCACGAAGCAACGCCGCCCAGGCTGAGTATTCAAACAACTGGCGCCAGTGCGCAGCCTTTATCAATGCTGAGCCGTCCGAGATTGGTACGTACGGCGCCTTTTCATGTGCTATATAGCCCCATGTATACTCCATTACTTACTCACGAGGCTTGTTCCACCAGCCTTTGGACAGTCCACCACCGCTTTGCTCCGACTCTTGGGCCAGTCGCTGCGACCCCATCTCAGTGCGGATGCAGAGATTGTCTGCTCTACCCTGTGCCATGAAGCCTCTGCAAGTGCCTGGGTTCATCTTGCCCGCAGTCTAGGTATCACCATCAAATGGTGGACACCATCACAAGATGGGCAAGATAACCCCTGCCTTACCGTCGATTCACTTAGACCTCTTTTGACTCCAAAAACGCGCCTCGTCACTTGCAATCACGTTTCCAACGTGGTTGGGACAATACACCCTATTCGAGAGCTGGCTGACCTCGTTCATACCATCCCTGGTTGCCTCTTCGTCGTGGACGGGGTTGCCTGGACGCCCCATCGGCCAGTTGATGTCAAACTGTTCGACGTCGATTTTTACTGTTTTAGTTGGTACAAGGTATTCGGCCCGCACATGGCGCAGCTATACGCACACCGTCGGGCACAGGACCGCTACATGACTAGTATCAATCATTTCTGGTTCGATCACTCCACCCTTGATGGTAAAGTCCACTTGGGGGCTGCTTGCTACGAGCTGGAAGCAATGTGTGTTCCCATTACCAAGTATTTGGGGGATCTCGGATGGGACGCCATCATCCAGCAGGAGACGGTCCTGACCAAAGTCTTGTTGGACTATCTTCTCAGCCGACCCAGCGTATATCGAGTGTTCGGTAGGCGTACAGCAGATCCAAGTCAGCGAGTGTCGATTGTGATATTCGAGGTACTTGGGCGCCAGTCCAGCGACATCGTCATGCAAGTTCATGTTCGCGACCGGTTCCGGATCACCTGGGGGGATTGCTGGGCACCACGACCAACATTCGACGTTCTGAGACCACACAGTGACGGCATCATCCGAGTCAGTTTCGTTCACTATAATACGGTGGCTGAGGTTCAGGGGTTATGCGCTGAGCTAGAGGATATAACATCCACTAAAAGTGCGCATGTTAAAGAAAAGGGGGACTCGTCATCCAAAGACATAGTCGAGGGGGCTTGACCGTGGAATATCCAGTGTATACTCGGCCATTAATAAAATATAAAAGTTTATTTGGCGTACATATCGATGCTTTAAAGACTATTCTATGTCAGTGGCCGGTATTGCAAGCACGGCATCTTCGTCGTTGACACTAAGAGACGCTATTTTGCTTGCAGAACACGGTGAAATATGAATCAAAAATTCATTACGCTGGGGGGAAAATATTGGTGGACCTAAATTTGGCGCGTCTATTTACAAAACTTTCCGAGGCCATCTAGACGTTCTTTACAGGCAGATTGTGTCTACAACCTTGTTCCCATATTGATATGGACGGCCTTGACTTGACTGTACGCCTCCAATCCTTCCTCACCCAACTCGCGACCAATACCGCTTTGTTTTACGCCCCCAAAAGGAATGCGGAAATCGCAGTCTTGGCTACTGTTGACCCAAACCGTACCGGCTTCGATCTCTGCCGACACGCGGTGGGCTCTTTCCAAATCACATGTAAACACAGAGGCTCCCAGTCCATATATGGTATCGTTGGCCTGCGAAATGGCGTCTTTTTCATCCTTGAAGGAACAAATGACTACCACTGGGCCAAAGATTTCCTCCCGGTAGATAGTCATGGACGGCGTGACGTCAACAAAAACGGTCGGCTGGACGTAGTAACCCTTGCCGTTAATAGGACACGCCGAGCCACCCGTGAGTAGCTTTGCGCCTTCATTCTTTCCTTTCTCAATGTACGAAATAACGCGGTCAAATTGCGCCTTGGAAACCTGCGGGCCCTGGAAGGAGTCCTTGTCCCATTGGCCCCCAACTATGGAGCGTTCATTCACAGCCTGTTGGAATCGCGCCACAAATGCATGATATATGTCTCGGTGAACCAGGATGCGGCTTGTGGAAGTGCATATCTGACCCGAATATGCCATAATCCCCAAGTGCGCCCACTTTACAGCTTGGTCCATGTCAGCATCGGGAAACACAAGAAACGGGGACTTGCCACCGGTTTCAAGAGTTATATTCTTCAATGTCTTAGAGGCCAGAGACATTATCGTCTGAGCAGTCGTGGTGGATCCGGTAAAGGCGATTTTGTCGACTAGTGGATGCTGCACTAGTGCTGACCCGGCTTCTTCGCCCCGACCATTGATCAGGTTCACAACCCCAGGAGGGAACCCTGCCTGTTCAATGAGTTGAGCAAGCAGAAGGATACTCAGGGGCGTTTGTTCTGCCGCTTTTAGTACCACTGTGTTTCCGCAGGCGAGGGCAGGGCCAAGCTTCCAGCCAGCCATCATCAGGGGGCTGTTCCAAGGTATAATCTGCCCGACGACGCCAATGGGCTGGCGAATCGTGTATGCGAGCTTCTGTGGCGAGGGGGTAATGATTTGACCGTTGATTTTATCGGCCCATCCACCAAAGTATCGGATCGTCTCGATTGAGCCTGTGACATCTTCCTCTAAAGCGGAAGTGTAGGGCAAGCCTGCGCCTGTTAGCGGAAGCACCAGAAAATCTGAGCTGTTTTACCAAGCAGGAGGCTCACCATTTTCCCATGATACAACAGATGCCAGAAGTTCCTTCTTCTCATCCATAAGAGAGGCTAGTTTGGCTATAAGATTTCCTCGCTCTGTGCCCGAAATCTGTTTCCACGAATCGCAGTGCAAGGCTCTTTTCGCACATTGCACCGCTCGGTCGACATCATCTGACGTCGCTGATTGGACATTCGCAATTGTTTTTTCGGTCCTATCATGGCAAATTAGTCTAGAAGTCTTGGTAAATGCAGGTGTACACATACGCGGGATCAATTGCAGTAATGGGCGTGGTCGTTGACGCCGATACAAACTCGTTGTCGATGAATAATCCCAGGGGCTGATAGTAAGTATGACCATTAGGCGTGGTAAGTTCCTGAATCAAAGGTTCCGATGTGTCCTTGGTGGTCATGTTGTTAGAGAGGTCGTCGATAAGTCTCTGCGGTTTTCGTCGGAGTGATTCCCACAGTTGGAGCGCAGAATATTCGCCAAGTCTGGAAGAAATGGTGGATATTGTGGGAGAAGAGGATCTAGAAATCTTGGGGGATGCATGATGAAAGCGTTTTCCCCATTCTTCTTTCTCTTCACCTGGGTGATATCACAAGTGACATGCTTTGGAGTCGTATTACGAAAGGGGAAAGCGGGAGCACCCGCGGCCCGCGCCAAGAAAGACCCACAGAATCCGTGGGGCTCAGTGACCCACGCGCGGCTTCTGTGGGTCTCCGGTGCCAACTCAGATATCCGTGGGTTTCAACCCTAACCCAAACGCAATCGACATTTCTTTCCCAACCAGGAAACATGGAGTTACCAACAGATTCTCGGCTGTCTCCCGAGCTACATTTCCAATAAAATAGCGCTGAGCAGAAGTTAGATTCTGGCCAAAATACCATCATCCATGCTCTGTTATATTCGCTATTGAACCTTAAACCTCTATGCCGCCACTCACAAAAACCCAACTTGACCAACTATGGGCGCGGAACTCCCAAGTGCCTGCTGCCACTTCTACCAGCGTTCAAGAGCTGATCGCCCTGCGAGCCGGCACACAGAGCAACCAACCAGCTATCACGGCGTGGGATGGTGATTACAGCTACGGACAACTCATGCATTTGGCATCAAGTCTAGCCGACCACTTGGCTCGAAATGTCTGCCCACACCACGGCAGGGTGCTGCCAATCGTGATGGAAAAGTCAAAATGGGTGCCAGTAGCCATGTTAGGGGCCTTGATTGGAGGCTGGGGAATAGCTCCTTTGGACATCAATACGCCAACGGCTAGGCTCGCTATAATCCTAGACATGCTGGATCCACCTTGCATTCTCACGACATCTGAGGTCAGAATAAAAGTCAATACTGTGGTACCAGCCCTTCCTGTGGATGGGCTAGGCCTCAAAGACCAGTCGCTGAGTTATACGGAGCAGCCGGCTCAGAGGATATCCATGTCCGCAAAAGTTGCGGCTGTTGTGTTTACATCAGGCAGCACTGGATCGCCAAAAGGTGTGATGCTGGGCCCAGAATGCATCTCGACCGCTGCCGTGTGCGGGTCTCAAATCCTCCGGCTCGGCCAAGGCTCTCGGGTATTTCAGTTTTCGTCCTTCTCATTCGACATCAGTCTACATGAGATTTTCATGACTCTGGTAGCTGGTGGGTGTCTTTGCATTCCTTCAGAGACGGAGAGGATAGACAGCCCCGTCGAAGCCATCAAAAGGATGCAGGCAAATTACATTTGCACTACCCCGTCCGTCATGATGTCCGTGCTGGCTGAAGCTGTTGCCTCGACTCCAATAAAAGCAATTGTGCTCACGGGCGAGGCACTTACATCCCGAATTCGCCCTTTGTTCTACAAGGGGCTGTGCATATTCAGTTGGTACGGAGCCTCGGAGTGTCCCATTGTTGCCCTTGCACCCTTGATTGAGGCGCATTGGGCACCTTCGCAAATAAGTTGTCGGTATCCGGGAAACTGCTGGGTCGTTTGTTCCGAGGATTCAGATGTCCTCTGTGGTTTCGGTGAGGTGGGGGAGTTGCTAGTAGAGAGTCCGATGCTGACATTGGGCTATCTGAACGCACCGCAGCAAACAGAGGCAGCCTTTTCTGTTGATCCAGCATGGCTAAATCATGGTCATGGCCGTGTTCCCGGCCGACGAGGCAGGTTATATAGAACTGGAGATCTTGTGCGAAACAACCAAGATTGGACATTCGACTACATCGGCCGTAAGGATACCATGGTCAAGATCCGAGGCCAGCGTGTCGATCTGAGCGCGGTTGAGTTTTGCATCTGGGATTATCTGCGGTTACGAGATCTAGATTCGCCCGTTCGAGTGATGGACGTAGTCGTTGAGCCGATAAATTCCAACAGAGACACTGACAGTTTGAGTGTTTCCTGCTTTTTATACGTGGACCGGCAACTGAGTCTTAGATCCCCTCGCTTTTCACAGAAGTGTATAGTCAAATCTACAACCCTCCCATGCGTCGATATCTATGCTCCCCACGCATCGTTGCGGGAAATTCAGTCAGGGATAGATGGTGCATTGCGGACCACACTGCCCGCGTATATGGTGCCGTCACTATATTTCGAATTGTCGAAAGTGCCCCTAACTCCATCTGGAAAAGTTGACAGAAGGCTTCTGCACTCTCTAGCATCGCAGATATCCAGCCATGACTTGCTGAAATGCCGTCTATTTTCACGAGAAGATCATACTCCACCACATAATGACATGGAATCGGCGCTTCAGCGACTTTGGGGGGAAGTGTTAGGGGTGGAGACGACTGCGATTGACACAAACAGAAGCTTCCTTGAATGTGGCGGAGATTCTCTTAGTGCCATCCTCCTCTCCAAGGCATTATCAAGAGAGTTTGATTTGCCCACCAAAGTCCCACAGCTCTTGCGCCGAGAGACTACGATTCAATACCTTGCAACACTGCTGGGGCAGCCCAAATGTGGCCAGACGGGTGCTGAACCGCGGATGGACATAGCTACTGTTCTCAAGGCGTGGGTAACAAGACTTGGAATGGTATCCGCGGGTCTTCCAACCGCTCCCTGTCTGAGAAATCGGGGCTCCCAGGTATTACTGACGGGTGCGACCGGGTATCTGGGGACACATATCTTGGGCGAGCTGCTCAACGGCCACTGGGTGAGCAAGGTCATTGTCCTAGTAAGGGCAGCAGACGTCGGCCTTGCGGAAGAGCGGGTTCGTGGAGTCGCAATTACTGCAGGGTGGTGGCAGCAGAGTGCGTTCTGCCGTATTGAGGTATGGGTAGGGAACCTAGCCGAGCCACGATTGGGACTTGAACAAGACAAATGGGCTGAGATTTCGAATATTGATATCATCATTCATAACGGTGCTGTTGTTAACTATAGCGCCGACTACGATGCCCTAGAAAGAGCAAATGTCATCTCAACATTCCATTTACTAGAGGCTGCTCTTCAATCCCAGCACCTCCGCGCCTTCATCTATATTTCTGGCGGCATTAAAAAAGGCCAGGGCCAGTCAGACGCAGAGTATCTGCGGACTCTAAATGAGTCTGAAGGTTACAGCCAGACCAAATATATGTCGGAGCAACTAACATTAGCTGCGGGCCGTCTATACCACGAAAACGTCCAGTCTCCTTCCGGACACGGCGCAGAGCTGAACCCAGCGAATAGGACTCGCACCTTTGCGGTCATTAAACCTGGCTACATCGTTGGTGATCAGGCGACTGGCCTCTCCAACACCGACGACTTCATCTGGAAGTTGGTCGCCGGCGCTATTCGCATGGGCTCCTTTCCTTCTGATCCCCCGGGATATTGGTTGGATATAGCCGAGGTCACTTATGTGGCAAGGCATATAGCTCACAGAGCACAACAAGGTGCAACCAATGCTTCTCCCCAGCTCATGACTCCGCCCAGTTCTAGCCACAGTGACTGCTCTAGTTCCAGCGCTGACGATTCTCGAGGCAATGGAACAACGAGCTCGACTGTGATATTCGATGAGATGAGCCGCGGTTTGCCAGTCGATATGTTTTGGCATGCTGTCCAGTCACAAGCTCAACTTTCTCTTAAACAAATGGACTGGGACTCGTGGATAGGCCAAGCCCAGATTGAGCTTGAGCGAGACAATGAAGCACACCCTTTGTGGGGTATTCAGCTGCTTTTGGGGCCCAGCCTTGGTAATCCCTGTGGAATATCGACTGAAGAAGGCAGGGCTAGATCGATGGGAGCTTCCGGTTCCCATGGCGAGGTTGAAGCGGCGGTACGACGCTGTGTACAGTATCTCTGCAAGATCCATTTCATTGTCCTTCCACTCAAGGAAGAGGCAATCTTGAAGTCTTCAGACCCGCATGAAAAGAATATGGTCAACGACATTGATGACGGTCTCACAGGCGACGAAGAACATTTGCCAAAAAGAAGAGCAATGGGAAGCAACCCAGACGGACGTCATCATCCCATAATAAGTCGATCCAAGTTGACATACTGGAACTGAGATGCACTATTGATGTGAGTGCTTGATAAAAGCCTGCAATGACCGCAAACGAGTTGAACCAAGTGTTTTTAGCGGGTTGAATGGTTGTCGAGGAGATGAACCGAGCCTGGCTATCTCATACGTCACCAGGGTAGGCTTGCCATTCAAGGCATCTTGCTTTCAGACTCATGCCTATTCAGGGAAAAAGTGTGCTTGGATCTTCTCTACGAAGAAAAGTTGGTCCTTGGATAAAGAGTGCTTTGGATGTGATGCAGACCTTCCTTTCGTCCGCTCCCCATATTAGACGAAATAAAGCCCGTCTTGGCATGGATTAGAGATATACTGCATTTTGTTATATAAAAGGATTAAAACAGCTGTTAAAAGGCGGTGAACAATTTTCCTTTTCCCCCTCATGGAAATCGAGATGAAAATTACATTAGAAATATAACATAATATAGAAAAAAAAATGCTCCTACCACCACGCGTCGTGGTCTGGTGGATTGATGTAGACAACCTAATAAACGAACGTTGGAAGACCACTCCTGGATACCGTGCCCGATGTTTCCCAAAGGAACTTTTACCTCAACACCTGCTTAGCGTAGCATGAAGTTGATGCTGCTTTAGCAGTGAGACGCTGACGAGTGCCAGGACCGAGCAGCAAAGAAGCATTATCCAGACGCCTCGAAATGCCTCCATGAAGGATGCCATCACTCCACCATACCATTCCGCTGGCAAGTGTTTCAGCTCAGTCAGGCTGTCCCGAATACGACCAATGACTTCAGCAGCGTCGTGCCTGTTACCGAATCTTGCCCACAGTTGTCGGGTAGAGATATTCTGGTACACCAGGGATGCAGTGCTTATTCCAATAGTGGCACCTATACTCCGGATAAAATCTACAACAAATGTAAGTATAAACCTAGTCCTTTACCCCAAAGCGAGGCAGTGCTGGATCGAGAGTTTTGGAGAAAGGGTGGAGGCTCACAAATGGTAGACATTACAACGGCTTGTTGCGAGTGGTCAACAGCAGCGATGGACGGAATCTGTGTAGTTGTCAACATGGCACCGTAGCCTGCTCCTACGAAAAAGAATGCCAGACTGGTTAACCAGGCCGGGCTCCTCTCGCTTTGGAGTACAAGCAATACGGTGCCAAGAGTCAGGGCAGACAGACCAGGGGGGCCCAGTCGAATATACTGCCCGGTCTGCTTCATAATATATCCCGACCCAAGGGCTCCTAGACATTCACCAACAGGGGATGACAGAATCCTGAGGCCGGCGGTGGTAGTCGACTCGCCGAGCACCTGGAGGTAAAGGGGTACGTAGAAGAGTGCAGCCATGAGGACTATGTCGGAGAAAAAGCTGGTCAAACAAGAGGAGAGGACGGTTCGATCAAGCACAAGCTTCACCGGGATGATTGGCTGTTGGGTTCTTTGCTCCCACCAAACAAAGCCTGTTAATAGGAATAGCGAAAGCGGGATAGCTGTAAGGGGCAAGGGATGTGTCCAAGGTACCATGTTTCCACCGGAGTTTAGACCAAGAAGCAGCAGCACAATAGATGAAGAAGCCATAAAGACGCCAAGAAAGTCGATACGTGCGACATACGACTGTTCGGACTGCTTGGGGGGCACTTTGACGAGAACTATAACGGCGATTGCTAAGAGGAGGGCCAGAGGCACCTGGATGAGGAAGGCCAATCTCCAGCCAAGTGCAGTGTGGTCGTTGAGGATGCCGCCAAAAACACCGCCGAGCATAGCACCGGATCCGTAAAACGCATTTGAAATGCCCTGAACTATGCCTCTCTTGCGCAGCGGGATCAAGTCAGAGCCCAGAAAGTTGGCGATACTCCTTTGGCCGGCACCGCCCATGCCTGCTATGACGCGGCCGACAAGCACGACGTGCGGATCCGTAGCCAGGCCGCAGATGAGGTTCCCGGAAGCAAAGAGGACGTTACACAAGACCAAGCCGGGACCGCGGCCGAAGATGTCTGTAAGGCGGCCCATGACGGGTAGACAGGCAGCGCTGGAAAGGAGGTAAGCCGTAGCAAGCCAGGACAGCAGGTAAAGAGATTCAAACTCGCTCGTAATGGGGCCTGCCAGCGTAGCGATGATGGTCTCGTCCATAGCACCGAGGAAGACACCGGTCCAAGCAGTACACATGATAAGGACCAGCCTCGAGAAGGGGACGTCTTGCAAGGGAACCACCTCTTCCACATCACGGCCAGGATGACCGCATTTCTTGGAGATATTGTTGGCGGCTGCCGCGCTTAACAACGATGTGGTCTCGGCGGCGTCCTTTTGCACATTGCCATCTTTCGACATTGTTTTGGTTGCTCTTTGCAGGAGATAGATTGCTGTAGTGAATCAGACCAGCGACAGTGAAGAAGAAAAGACGCGACAAAAAAAAAAAAAAAAAAAAAAAAAAAAGACTAAGGGGCTTTCCAGGGACTTGAGTTAATATCCTGTTTTCAAAATATTGCGTCAGAATGTTTGTCTCAGATTCATCCAATATTAGTCAGTCTGTCGTTGTGTTGTACAACGTCTTGTGCTACCCAACTAGCGACTCAGCTGCTCTACCCGTCATTGCTACAGAAGTGGTTGCATACTGTGGTAGTCATCATTATGTTGTGCCCAATATGCGGCTGGAAGGAGCTCTCTGGTCTTGTTGGACTTGGACCAAAGACTCGCCTCTCGGCAACAAAAAGAGAGCACCGTTTTGTGTACACGGCAGAGCGTGGCTCTCCAACGCAAGTTGTCGGAGTAGTTCTCTCGCTACCAGCAGCAAAAAGCACAAATCTTGGCAAAAGTATCCAGTTGCCTTTAATTCCGAAACGTTGCCTGCACTAATAATCGCTCTCAGTTAGCGAGTAAGCCATCACCACCACCAAAGCAACAGCAGAAGGCTTTATACTATCGTGAGTCACGAATACAACCGTCGATCCGAGCACTCTAAACACTCAGCCACCTTCAAAGAGTGTTCAAAAAATCTGTATTCCTGGCCACTTTACCTAGTTTCCCCAGTATACTGTCAAATGCCGCCACTTGCGATCCAGGCCACATCTCCATCCGGTAACCGGCCAAGGTCACGATTCAGGGAACAGGATTCGAGACATGACACAGTAACAAGGCCACAGGTGGTTTTTGGGGTAGTTTTGCTTCCGTCACCATTGTGTCTGGGCGCAACAGGTGATTCGGTGGTCGACGATGCAGATGGCACCACCTTCGCATCGAACTTTGCCAAAAATCGCTTGAAGAAGCGTAGATTTTGTCGACGCCACCGGTCCAAAGGCCTGACGTGACAGAGTGGCGGTCAAGTTGAGAAAATGGCGTTGCACAGTACGATGTCAGCAGCTGATGCGGTTGGTAGTGCTACAGAGTTGGACGCAGAGATAGCGTATATTGCAAAGGCAGTAGGGGGTGTGAGTGAAGGGGTCCTGTTGGACATGATGGTTTGTTAGGTCATACACTAGCCGTAGTCCCGGTCGGTTTCGTTTGACCTCGAATCTTGAACGGTATCTGACGTTACACTACTTCGTCCCATCATCTGGACGCTACACATGTCTGCAAGCACCGTGCTGTTACCGCAGGCGCGCGTATCTGGCAATGAGGCAATATTTGGGCCTCAATCTATCCTCTCCAGCAGCGCAGAAGGTGTTGAAGCGCAAAAACTGGCGTTATCAGTTTTCCGCCCCTGCGACCCGGTGCTTTTGTGCGGATCTTCGTCCCAACAATACAGAAGGTTTTACCTCTTTGTGAGTTGATTTAGGATAAGGTAGAGGGCGGCATTGAGAGTAGGTTACTAACTGCGAGACAAGTGTTGGTAAACAGCTCTCTGATGTTGTTCCATAGAAGTGGCTTGACGGGATATGACTCGAGAGTATTGACCAATATAGTTTTACAAGAGCAGCTTTTTTCAATACCCAAATCCTCCCTCAAGCTGTAAGTGAGAACTACGTCGGGCGTGTCGAGCTACGCTGCGCACAGAACCGTGTAGCGAAGCTTGCTTGCTGATGGCCGGTAGGACAATCGTCACGGCAACCAAGAGAGTTAGCAGAAGCGCAAAAAACGACTGAAGACGGCAACTGCCCGAGTTTGATGTGCTCGTAACGTATAATTCATCAATCATAGACTAACAGCATAGCAGCAATGGCCCATGGCGAATAAAAACATAAATATACACATGCAACATGTATTCCAACAGGGGTATCGTGATGACTGACTAGGCATTGCCCATCGCTCACTCCCTTAGACGGTTTCAATGTAACGCTTCATTTCCCTAGAATTGATCAGCGCCTCATATAATGTGTTTGTTCGTCAAGGAGTTGAATACGTACCAATCCGTAACAGCCTCGTCAAACAACCGCACCTCGTTCTCTCGGGTGCCACCAAAATGTTCGACGAAATCATCGCCGAAAATCTCCCTCGCGATGCTATCCTTTCTCATAAATCTCGCCGTGGCCTCCTTGAGACTCTTGGCCAGCCGCTCACCCATGTCGCCCGCACCGCCTGTATCTTGCCCCATGGCAAGCGGCGGGCACGGAATCTCCAGCTTCTTCTCTACGCCGCACCACCCACAGCCCAGAATGGCGGCCAATACAAAGTGAGGATTTGAATCGGCCCCGGGCGTCCGGACCTCGAACCTCGTGGCGCCAGGTTTGGACGTCGGCGGGGAAATAAGACGAATAGAAGCGGCGCGGTGCTCCAGCCCCCACGACACAGTGACGGGCGCCCAAAAGTTCTCGACGAGCCGCTTGTACGAGTTCACCGTCGGGGCCAGCATGGGCATGATGTCCGGCAGGCCCTCGAGGAGACCTGCCAGGAAGTGCCGACCCAGATCGGACAGGGCCGCAATGTCGTTCCACTTGGCGTCAGGGTCCATGGTGTCCCTGGCGAGCAGGTTCTTGCCGTCGCCGTCGACGATGGAGATGTGCATGTGGCCGCTATTTCCGGGAAGGCCCTGTTTCGGCTTGGCCATGAAGCACGGCGTGATGCCGTGTTTGATGCCCACGCTCTTGACGACGTACTTGAACAGGCTGGCGCGATCGGCCATGTCAGCCACCTCGCCGAACTCGAGGGCCGCTTCGTAGACGCCTGGCCCGGACTCGGTGTGCCAGCCTTCGATGTCGCAGGAGAAGCGGGCACACGTGCTGTACACGTTGTAGTACCAGTCCTTGTTGTGGACGGGGCGGTTGAGCGAGTAGCCGAACATGCCCTCGGTCAGGGAGGGCAGTTGATGAGGCGGGTTTTGCTGGAGGAAGGCGGCGGGGGAGGCCGAGTCGTTGTTTGGGTTGCGGAACGTGTAGAATTCGTATTCGGCTTTTGTCAAGGACTCTAGTTAGCATGTCCCAAGTGGTCACTCTGCGCAAAAAAAACGTACCGCCAGCCATGGCTCCGTAGCCCTTGGCGTGGACCTTGTCCAGCTGCGTCTTGAGCAGGCCCCTTGAACATGGGGCAATGGGCTTCTTGGTGTCCGGGTCGAAGAAGTTGACGAGGAAAAATGGCACGTTGTTCTCCCACGGCACCCTGCGAAAGGTGGAGAGGTCGGGAATGGCCAGAATGTCGCGGTAGCCGTTCTCGGCGTTGGACACCTTGAGCTCCTTGAGGTAGGTCTGGTCGTGCATGTCCCAGCCGAAAATGACGGAGCAGAAGCCGAATCCTGCTTCAGCAATGGACAGGAACTTCTTCTTGGAGACGAGCTTGCCTCGCAGGATGCCGTCGACGTCGATGCCCGCCAGCTTGACGCATGTGTCGTGCTCGAGGAGCTGGGGGAGGGAGGAGGCGGTGATTTGGGACCCCATGGTGGTGCCGGGGATGAGTAGGCTTCGTCGAGTGATGAGGGCCACAGAAGGTGGTAGTTGACAGATTGTCATGAAGATGAGAAGAAATGAGGGGAATGGGAGGCAATGAAAGAGAGACGTGAGTCAGGTGTTTGCAGCGTCGAGCTGGTGATGTGATGGTGCAAGCAGCCCGATGGTTTTAAGCCATATCACGATAAGCTGCAGCTTAACAAAGTGGGGGGAGAAATGCTGCGCACAATGGAGAAAGCCGCGCGCGAGTTTGAAGCGCCAAGTTTCCCAAGATCCGAGGTCAACGTCTCCAGTCACAGGGTGTTTTTTTTTTTTTTAACTTTCCAAGAGCAGATCAGAAACTGGGCACGAGGTCTCTGTAGATGGGCGGGCACGATACGGGAGGCCATGCAGCTTTTGCTCCAATCTGCATCGTCATCACTTTTTTTTTCTTGGGTTGGAAACATTGAAGTGGCTTGCGGGGCGTGCGGCAAGGGTTTGCGACGTTTTGATTGGCGTGGCGCTTCCAAGGCCAGACCCGATGGCGGCCCTGTTTAGCGCGCAGATTCTGGATCGTGGGGTTGGACTTGCGTACATTGGACATGAGCTTGGCTGATGCCGGTGCGGGCGTTCATCCAAGCGACGTAGCGGCACTCTCGACGGTGGTAACTGAGCGCGGTTCTAATTTCCGTGCAATTGTACTCAGTTTGTTCCCGTCTGAGGTTCGGCTCTGCCAGGGATCGTCATTACCTGCGCCCTGCCTCACGGTAACATGCTGTCAAGTACAGCCAGCGCGGCTAACCTATCTCTCTGTTCACATACAAAATCGACCTCTCAAAATACCGATTACACGTAGTTAAATACATCAGAAATGAGGCCTTCCTATTTTCAATCTCCCAGTACCCCCAGCTGCCACGCAATGCCAGATAATGCGGCCCGCGCATCGACGCCAGGTACCTGTGCTGCCAGGGACGGTGACAGAATCCGCGGTAGGGTATCACTCCAAGCTTCTAGAACGAATGCAGGTTCGCCAAAGGTAGGCTCTGTACGCGGAATCTACGGCAATGCGAAGCCGAACCACTGTATCTCGCGGATGCAAATTGGCAGTTTCGGAACATGAGAGAACAGGTACAAGACCGCCGGGCTGCAGAGCGCGGTTCGGTGCGCGCACCGAGAAGCCACGGCGACAACTCGGACGAGCCAATCACGATGCCGCATGCAACGTTGGCAAACCGAAGAGCTGTCACGCAGCGTTCGGTGGGCCGCTGTCGGAACGCGACACACCAGACCTCACCTCGGTACAGCGTAGTCCGTCATCGCCTTGGCCGTTAATGTCCAACACCGTCGCCGCGGCCCAGGGCCTCGCCTTTCAAGCTCATCACGCGTGCCGCGTGTCTCAGCTCCAGGAAATCGTAAAGCCAGTAAGCTAGGCCCTTGGCCCCGCACGTGCTTCAGCCAAGATATCCATCTGTAGTTGATAGAAATACTTAATAGGTCTGGTTCTTATCAACCCGGCCATCCATCGTGACACCAAAGAGCTGGCAGAGCTCTCCAACCCCACCAACACCCAAGGAACCCCTCTTGCTCCATCGAGTCGACTACCTTATTTCATTCTTATCCTCCCTTCTTTCTCACGATATTTCAAACAGACCTTCTTTCCATCCGCGCAATCATCACAATGGGTCGTCTTGCTGGTAAAAACGCCGTCATTACCGGTGCCGCTGGGTGCGTATAGCTTCTTTTTACACCTTCCACCACGTTCGCATCAACCCACGTTGCTGACTTGACACCCTGCAGTGGCATCGGCCTCGAAACCACCATCCTCTTCGCCAAAGAAGGTGCCAACGTACTCATGGCCGACATTTCTGAGCCCGCTCTGGAAAAGGCCCTGGCCAAGGTCAAGCAGCTCGTTCCCTCTGCCAAGGTTGAAACAAAGGTACGCTCCATGTTAATCCCCCCAGCCACCAACAACCAAAAATGGAAAATGGACCAAAAAAGGGGGTAGACTAAAAGCAGTTCATTACAGAAATGTGACGTCTCCAAAGAATCCGATGTTCAAGCCCTCGTCGAATCCGTCGACCCCTGGGGCGGCCTCGACATCATCTTCAACAACGCCGGCATCATGCACGCCAAGGACGACGACGCCGTCAACACCCCCGAAGAGATCTGGGACCTCACGCAAAACATCAATGTCAAGGGCGTGTGGTTCGGCTGCAAGCACGCCGTGCTCTCGCTGCGCCGCCACAAAAAGACCAAGGGCAGCATCATCAACACCGCCTCCGTCGTGGCCCTCGTCGGCGCCGCCACGCCCCAGCTCGCCTACACTGCGTCCAAGGGCGCCGTGCTGGCCTTGACGCGCGAGCTGGCCATGGTCCACGCCCGCGAGGGCTTCAGGTTCAACAGCCTGTGCCCCGCGCCGCTCAACACCCCGCTGCTGCAGGACTGGCTCGGCGATGACCAGGCCAAGCGTCACCGTCGCGAGGTGCACTTCCCCACGGGTCGCTTCGGCGAGGCTGTCGAGCAGGCCCATGCCGTCGTGTTCCTGGCCAGTGACGAGGCTAGCTTTGTGAATGGCCATGACTTTGTCGTTGACGGCGGCATGACCAAGGCCTATGTTACCCCGGAGGGTCCTGCTGCTGCCGCGCCCCAAAACAATGCTTCCAAGAACTCGTTGGAGTAAGAGTGTGAGTGGAAGTCAATGCGAAGAGGGGGGAGAGGGGTTGAGTACAGACATAGAAACTTTTACTTCAATTATGATAACGGACCTATGAAAAAAAAAAAAATCATATACTTAATAATCAATGCGCCTTTGCCTGGGGCACATCACATCTGGGGACTTCGTAGTTGTCAAAGCATGATAAAATTCACTTTAGCCCATGTATTTGCTCTACAAAAAAAGGTGTATATTCAACCCGAAATACAAACTCCGACCCATGCTTGTCCCATCTCCCATCCTATTCATTTGCCTTGCCCAAGTTCACCCTAGTTGAACTGACCCTCAGTGTTGCCTTCGCCCATGCTCCTGCTGCTCGAGCTGCCGCTCTGAATGGCTCCCAGAATGCCATCAATGTAGCTGGCTCCACTCCACTTCTGGTGCGTTAATACGTCACACCCAAGGTCCTTCTCGCGTCGCTGAACCAGCTCGACATACGCTTTCATGCCGTCAGTTTTGAAGTTGCGCGCCAGTTCGCACGAAATGGTTGCCGTGGAGTGCAGTCCGGCCAGGGAAACCAGCTGAACAACAAAGCCCTCCTTGGCAATGTCCCAGATGAAGGACTTGAGGGTCTCGGGGGTGAAGCCGTGTGCCATCCAGTTGAATGACGGGGACAGGTTATATACAAGACCCTTGTTGGGGTACTGATCCCTCACGGCGCGGCCGAGCTTGGTAGCAACCTCGACATTGGGGTCGCCAGTCTCGACCCAAAGAAGGTCAGCATAAGGAGCAAAGGCCAGCGCACGCTTGGTAGCGGCCTCCATGCCAGCGCGGAAGTGGTAGTATCCTTCGCGGGTTCGGGGGACGTCCCAATTGAAGTAGACGGGGGTCTTGGAGTAGTGAGAAGCCAAAGCACGACGGCGCGTGATGCCCATATCACGGTCCTTGGCGGTGGCATTCAGGTACTCGTTAATCTTTTCCTGGCTGACACCCTCCTTTTGCATGTGGGCAACAGCAGCCTCGTTGAAGGTGACGAGCTTGGTGTTCTTAACCCACTTGGCCTCAAAGATGTCTATCTGGGAGCCAGAAGCTCCCTTGGCCTCCATGGACTGGATTGTCTCAGCAAGTGGCTCAATGGATGGGTCGGCGACGCCCAAGATGAACTCGTGGTCGCGGACGTCAATAGCGGAAGAAAGCAGCTTGCCGGACTCGGAGTCGGTTCGGGCAATCACCAAATTCTCACATCCCATAACGTCCCACTGGAATCGGGCAGCATTGAGTCGGTTGATGTGTTCGCCAATGGGGACGATGACTTTGCCAGCAAGATGGCCACACTTCTTGCCACCGTGGAGTTGATCCTCAAAGTGCACAGCAGCGGCACCATTCTCGGCAAACAGCTTGGCAAGCTTCAAGATAGCAGACAGCCCCCCATGGCCAGTGTCACCATCGGCAATGATGGGCCGGAGATAGTCGATGTACGGGGTCTTGGCACGCTCTTCGGAAGTCATTTTGCGACGAGCATCCCACTGCTTGCGGTCATGCATGCTCTGGGCTTTGGCCAGACGCTGGACTTGGTTGGGGACTGTATTGTAGGGATAGTCGCCAAAGTCGGGAGACACTTCGTTGGTGGTGGTGAGCAGGGACGAGCAGGCCCAGCCAGAGATGTACAAGACTTCCTGGTGAGCAGCTTGCTGTGTCATTTGGATGGGATCGATAGCACCCACTATGCGTTGGTTAGTAAATTTGTGCCTGCAGGTTCAATTGATGCATTTACCAAGACTTACTTGTATGGATCGGCTCGCCCTTGGCCTGGCGCTCTTGGACCAAATTGAACAGCTTGGCGGCCATGACAGAACTGGGGTATGAGATCTTCTGGGAGCCTCGCTTGGTGACGACGTCTGCAGCGCTATAAGGTCGCTTGATTCCAGAATACCGAGGAGAAGACCACCACGCCTCAACTTCCTTGATCTGGGCCTCGTACAAGGCATCCTCGGCCTCACCAGTCTTTTGCGATTCGGGCAGCAGCTGGAACGAGTCGGCAGCGGGAATTGCGTGCGAAAAGGGATTGCCAGCCGGGGCAGACATGACGGCGGTTGTAGAAATCGCACGTATAGCTGTTGAGCGGTACTGGGTCGTTCGGGGCCTGATGGTGGGCAAGACTCGCCTGGCGGCTCTGGTTGCAACGTTTCGCATCATAGTAACGATGATGGCCAAGGGACGTCAAAGGAGTGGCTGGAAGGTTGGAGGTTGGAGAACCAGCTACCTTTAAGCAATCTCCGAAGAAGAATGCCGAAACACTGTCGCTTGTACTGACGCCCGAACGCAGAATAAGCAGTTGATGATAGGTTTTGGAATGGCTCGGAATGCGGGCGAAACCGAATGGTGGTGCATGCAACGCCGAGCTCAGTCCGGCCGGCTATCACGCCTGATACGGCTTAAGAGCTGTGGCAGAGAGTGGCGGACTGGAGGAACAAAATGTGTGGCAACGGCTTGCCGGCTCAAATCCAGGCAGGAGCAAACCACTACTCGTGCCCATGGTTGCCATGATGAAACCCACTGGCCGAGCAGCCAGTTGGAGCGCCTTCCCCAAAGCTTACCCCGAAATCACAGGGCAAAAAAGATGACCCGGCACCTGATTGGCCATTCACGGCCTGGCAACGAACCGTTGGACCGGGGCCCCACGGCTTTCCTCGGCTGTCTCGACATGCTCGCCTTGAGGTCTGGCTCGTGGTTGGCGGGGAAGGAGCGATATGGCTGCATATGCGTCCGGTATGCGGTCACCACCAGGTGTCTCGGCATAACCTTTTGGTCAGCCTCCCTCCACGTTGCACGGCCGACTTTTTTCTACCAGACCTGCATCTTCTCCCTTCTCTCTTCTAGCTCTGGTAAGCTCAAAAGAGACCGAAGCACCCTCATTACATTGTAAGCATTTTGCCCATAGACTGTGACCCCTTGCGGGGAACATCCCAATTGACCTATTTACAGATCTACCCCACGATCCAGATCCCGCCAGCTCCGCGATCATACAGTCCAACATCGACAACCATGGCTCTGAACCTGAGGAATTCCACTCGGGCTTTTGGCTCCCTGAAGGTATGATGAGCAATACCACTGGCAACAAATCAGTTCTCATTTGCTTTTATTCAATGCCGCAACGCCGCAATACACCAATGCCACGACGCGCAATATGCTGACTTGAATGAAACAGCCTCTGACCCGAGCTGCTCTTGTCGGCGCTCGCGGCTATGCCACTGCCGAGCCCGACCTCAAGACTACCCTCAAGGAGGTCATTCCAGCTAAGCGTGAGCTTCTCAAGAAGGTCAAGGCTCACGGGAGGAAGACCATTGGCGAGGTCAAGGTCGAAAACACGCTCGGCGGTATGCGTGGCCTGAAAGCCATGGTTTGGGAGGGTTCCGTCCTCGATGCCAACGAGGGTATCCGCTTCCACGGCAAGACGATCAAAGACTGCCAGAAGATCCTTCCCAAGGGTAAGACTGGCACTGAGATGCTTCCCGAAGCCATGTTCTGGCTCCTCCTCACCGGCCAGGTTCCCTCCACCAACCAAATTCGCGTCTTCTCTCGCGAGCTGGCCGAGAAGGCTCAGATCCCCGACTTCGTCTCCAAGATGCTCGACAACTTCCCCAAGGACCTTCACCCGATGACCCAGTTCGCCATTGCCGTGTCTGCACTTAACTACGAATCCAAGTTCGCCAAGGCATACGAGGCTGGCCTGAACAAGGCTGACTACTGGGAGCCTACCTTTGACGACTGTATTTCGCTCCTGGCCAAGTTGCCCACTATTGCCGCCAAGATTTACCAGAATGCCTATCGCGGAGGTGGTGCTCTTCCTGCCGAGGTCGATCTTGAGCAGGATTGGTCTTACAACTTTGCCGCCATGCTCGGCAAGGGAGGCAAGGAGAACGAGAACTTCCAGGATCTCCTCCGTCTCTACCTTGCCCTGCACGGTGACCACGAGGGTGGCAACGTCTCTGCCCACGCCACTCACCTTGTTGGTAGCGCTCTTAGCGACCCATTCCTTTCTTACAGTGCTGGTCTCCAGGGTCTGGCCGGACCTCTCCACGGGTGAGTTTGTCTCTTTGAGCACTTGCCATTGGCTTTTGATTCTGACAAATTGCAGTTTGGCCGCCCAGGAGGTTCTCCGATGGATTCTCCAGATGAAGGAAGCCATCCCCGCCGGTTATACCGAGCAGGATGTCCACGACTACCTGTGGTCCACCCTCAACTCGGGCCGTGTCGTCCCCGGTTATGGCCACGCCGTCCTCCGCAAGCCTGATCCCCGATTCGAGGCTTTGATGGACTATGCCGCCGCTCGGCCCGAGATTGCCAAGGACCCCGTCTTCCAGCTGGTTGAGAAGAACAGCCGCATCGCCCCCGAGGTCCTCAAGAAGCACGGCAAGACCAAGAACCCCTACCCCAACGTTGACAGCAGCTCCGGTGTCCTGTTCCACCACTACGGCTTCCATGAAACTCTGTACTACACCGCCACCTTCGGTGTGTCTCGCGGTCTTGGACCTCTGGCCCAGTTGATCTGGGACCGTGCTCTTGGTCTGCCCATCGAGCGCCCCAAGAGCATTAACCTTGAGGGCATCTTGAAGCAGGTTGAGGGTCAGTAAAAATAGCGGTGCGAGGAAAGTGAAAGTCAGATTGGAGCTATCGTGAACAAAACAGCATGTTTCGTAAATTAATAGCAATATGAAATACCATAAAAAGTAGTGTTGTTCATATAGGGTGTATAAGTAGAATATACCCAGCGGCTTCAAGGCTCCTATTTGGATAGGAAATGGCTAGATATGGAGTTGTATTTGCTGATAACTGCGGATGTGGGATGGATTTGAGCAGCATGGATAGAATTGATAACAATGATCTGACAAGTTGTGTTTTTGATGCTTTAGTTTCGTTATGAAAATTGCTTTTGGCAAGGTTTTAAAGGTCGACAGCCGGTGTGAACTGTACCCGGGAAACACCAGGCGATCCTTCAAGATTGACTACGTCCGTATTCCTGACAGATCCAAGGACTATACGTGGCGGTATATAGGCGGTAGAGCTCATCGTGAGACCAACGTGGTGGCTCTTGTGACTGTGCAGTGTATACGAATGAAAGAAAGGCTTGATTCTCTCTTGCACCAGTGTTTGTTTCTCGGGTTCTTTATCCCATCTATGACAGCACCACGGAAGAATCACAAACTTTCCGAAGCTTGTCAGTCGTCAAAGAAAAGTGGCGTACGCTTACGCAAGCCAGAACCATATCCTCTCCAGCCAATTCCGCGGCTCAACAACCTTCCAAGTCCCCTCCAATCGATCAATCTCGGCCTTGCCGGACCAAAGATCCATGTCGGCCAAGCTGACAAACCGCGTCCCCACGACAAACTTGTAGCCCAAAAACAGGGTCAAAAAGATGGGAATGTCAACGTACGGCGGCACAAACGTCTTTGCGGAAAACTTCCCGGGGAAAAACGCGTCAAAGCCGTTAAACAGCGCGACAATGAGACAAAACACAACCGAAAAGCAGGCGAGGAACGGCTGAAGCGGCGACTTGTACGGCAGGGTGTCCCTCGACACGCCCTGGCGGCGCAGACCGTAGTAGAAGCGGAGGTAGGTGCAGCACACGCTCGCCCAGACAATCAGGGTGCTCACGGCGCTGAGGTTGCTGATCCAGAAGAAGACCTCTGCGGAGCGGTTGTTCACATTCAGGTACACGAGGCAGCTGAGAGCCGCGGTGGCGGCCACGCAGCCGTAGGGGACGCCAAACCGCTCCCACTTGAGCACGGAGGGCGCCTTGCCGTCCAGGGCAGCGGCGTAGAGCAGGCGCGTCGAGGCGTAGAAGAAGGAGTTTCCGGCGGACCAGGCCGACGTCAGGATGACGGCGTTGATGACGGACGGGAGCGTCCCGATGCCGGCGTTCTGGATGGCAACCACAAAGGGGGACTGGGCGGCGCCGGGGGCAGAGGTGCCGATGGCGTTGAGGAGGTTGGGGTCCGTGGACGAGACGCAGAGGCCGACGAGGAAGATGGAAAGCACGTAGAAGACGGCGATGCGCCAGAAGACGCGGCGTATGGCCTTGGGGATGTTGCGGCGCGGGTTCTCCGTCTCGCCCGACGCGACGACCACCATTTCGCTCCCGCCGTAGGAAAAGGTCGCCTGGACAAAGACCTTGCAGAAGGCGAGGAAGCGGCCCGTCGGCCCGTCGGCGAGGTACGTCTTCATGGGGCCCGGGTCGTTCCAGTACCGGAAGCCGATGGCGTCGCCGGCGGGCGAGCCGCCCACGGTGATGACGAACATGAGCAGGATGAGGCCGACAATGGTGACGAGCTTGACGGCGCCAAAGGCGAACTCGGCCTCGCCGTAGACGCGCACCGGCAGGCAGTTCACGAGCACCATTGTCGCGGAGAAGAGGGTGACGAGGGCGGCCTTGGGCAGGTCGTTGGGCCAGTAGTCGACGACGACGCCGCAGACGGTCGCCTCGATGGGCACCCCGATGGCAAACTGGTACCAGTAGTTCCAGCCGAGGGTGAAGCCGAGGGCGGCGTCGACGTAGCGCGCGGCAAAGACGGGCACGGCGCCGGGGATGGGCAGCCAGGCGGCCATCTCGCCGAGGCTGTTGATTACGCAGTAGAGGTTGAAGCCCGTCACGGCGTAGCATATGAATGCCGACAGGGGACCCGCGAGCGACAGCACCTGGCCGCTGCCGACGAAGAGGCCGGTGCCGATGGCGCCCGAGAGCGCGAGGAACTGCACATGGCGGGATTTCAGTCGCCGGTCGAGCGTGCCAATGTGTTGTTGCTCGACGTCGGGTTTGGTCTCCGCCAGGATCGAGGGCGTTGGCTGGATGGTATCGGCTTGTTTTTGGGCCTCCTCGACGGGAATCGCCATGGTGGAACTCTTGAATAGAGGGGTAGGGGGACCAAAGGGAAAGAAAAAAAGAAAGCACGGGTTTACATGGCTGGTGGACGAAGGCTGTTGTATGTCTGGCTGTCTGAAGGTTGTGGTCATGAGTTATTCCCCCGCACCGGTAACCTGCGAGCTCGGGACCATGCATCCAGCTATACGTGGTACTCCTTACGAGGAGCTAATGCACGGTTTAAAAAAAAGAAGAAGCACTCTTGCTTACGCGCAATCTGCTATTACCTCCTCGTCCCTCCTCGCGTGTGTTGTCACTGAAAGCAACGCCTTGGTGTGCGCCGTGTTTCGCCCTATGAAGTCGTTGAAGATTATTGTCACCCCTTGCGCTGTCTTGTGTACCCAACCGGCTGTGAACAAGTGCAAGAGGATGCGGCTCTTCCTGATTTTGTATGTGTCTGAAAGAGAAGTAGATGAGAGTTGGCTGGTTCGGAGGGTTGTTCGTGGTAGTGTGTACTGGGCCTACGATTCATTCTCAAGTCACGCAGAATCTTGGAAAAGGCCCCATTCACACCTTGTAGGGCCTTCTTGATAGTCGGCCAAGTATCTGAAGCCCTGTGGTGATTGAGACTTCGCAAAGCTGTGTCGATTGTCAAGTAGCTCGGTCCGACGAAACACTTGGGCGCGTAAAGCATCCACATGACACCAAGTAGAGAGACACAGAGTTGTTGAACCTCTTCAGCCTCTTCATCTTGACTAACAACTGGCCTCTCTCGACCAAATGACCAGCTACCATTTACAGACTGCAGTAGGTCGTCTCCGAGAGAGATTGGTAAGTGCAGTCTCCGATGGCATAACGAGCGGCGAAATTCTGGCTATCAATTTCAACTAAACCACCAAGTACAGTTCTTAGCATTTCTGGTAATAATGGAAAGCGACTATCAGAACTTGGGGAAAAGCTACCATGTATAAGCTTTGGTATTCCGCTCTCGCCAGACGCCAACCCGTCTTCCGGGTGGAGAAACTGTATGAATCCCTAATCTGCCACTCTGCTGTGTTTTTATATATTTCGCATAGATGAGCACAATGGGGGTAAACAATACTTGGCTCGCTTGATGGAGATCAGGCTGGCTATATCGCATACTTTTCCGCAATTTAAGCCTCTGAAGAGGGCGCTCAAAACCAGATGATCCTGTGAAGCATATCGGGCGGCCATCTTCACAGTGAGAAAGAGCGACATCCGGCCATTCGGAAATGTGGCTTCCCACGCTGACATTGCTACCGATATTTTCTGCCCTTCACCATTACGGACCATGGTCTCCCGAAAAGTCAATCTTGTAGCTGGAGCAGCCCAGAGGGACGCTCTGCGTTTGCTGCTATTGTTTGAAGCGATTCTCCAGATGCCTGGATGATACCAGCGTCAGCCTTCTCTGAGCACTGTTGTAGGGTGTCTCGTGAGCTTTGGCCGAGATGACTCAGCCCACTCTAGTATTTTGTATCTTTCAAGTCGTCTCTCAGTCCATTCTCCAAAAAGCACACTGACTAGATTTGCTCTACATTGCACTTTGTTAAACGAATTCACATCGAGTTGTGACTTACGTGGACTTACTTGGGGGCAGTTCCACGGACTAGTGCCTTGTCAAACTCGACCACGTCTTATAGTGTTTTTAATCAGAACGTTCAAAGCAGCTAGTAATACTGTACGTAGGCAGGTGCAGAAGGCGGTGTCACTACCCGCTGGTGGGTGGGAGTGCTGCTGCTGTGCGCCACCATCGATCGCGTCGTGTGATTTGATGGGGATTGCTGAGGAGCCCTGGATGACCTACGCCGTGTTTTTGTCTCTGCAATTCGACTCAATCATACTTTCTCCAAGTTATTGATCTCATGCCGATGCCCTTGTTCATGATACATGATTTGCTCTACTACGACAACCGTGTTAGGGGACGACGACTGCCGCGATTCTGCGGATTTGGCATAACTTACATGCAGCTTTTCATTGTCTAAGGAGGGAGCAGCTAGTTCAACTATGGACAATGATTCGTCTCAACCTTCCAATGGGCCCGACAAGTCGACATTCTTGCATTTGCGCAGCCATCACATGATGAAATGTAGCCCGCTCTTTGCGTGTGGCTTGTAGCAGTGAGAACCAGGCATCCCTACGCTTACTATCCGCTGGGATAGATCAATGGGTCTTCCATCTAGCCGAGATCTGAATGATCAAGCCGGGCCGGCAAGTCTTGGCTTTGCGTAGAATGTGCCAGAGTTCATAGGGCGCACCTAACTAGTCGCAGGTATTTTGTCAAGTTCTTGGTGATGTTCAGTTCCTGCTTCTGGAAAAATACTCCCCAGTCAGAACAAAACCTACGTTGAACCAGAGTATTATAATAAGAGACAGGGCGGCTATGCCTAAGAATGAACAGGACATCTAGTTTCGCCCTTTCTGGCGCGATAGATGCGAGCTTCTCATTCAGCACTCTTCTAGGCCTCGAGCCCCCAATCTTGTGGTGATTTTCGCGTCAGTCACCTCTAGGGCTCTGGAATACACTAGACTTGAGCTGACTTGATGCATTACTCGTCTGCGTGGTTGACGATGATTGTCGCCTTTGGGATTGTCTGTGTAGGCCTGGCCTGCAGGGGATCCTCGTTGAATTTTTTTTATTCACATTGTACCACAGGTTCGTGTGTGCATTATTGCCCGCAGCGGGAAGAAGTCCCTTAATGGAGGCTAATCTCGATGCAACGTCATGCTCGGAGATGGTGTTGGCTTTCACCTTGTTGGCACTGGATCTCGTGGATCTCGGGCCAGGAGGGGCAAGAGTGGTCACGTGAGATATTCTCCTGCAAGCAAAGGGCAATGGATGCAATGCAATGGAACATGCAACTCGGGACCAATGGTTGGGCTACGGAGACAAGACTCCTATTGCATGGTTATCCACCCTTGGCGACATGCCATTATCTGTGACTCTGAGCGGCCTCACCAATACTTTTTGAAGCACTCCGCGGACCTCCTCGCGCAACAAGGAACATCAAGGTATTCACATCCCCAAGCATCGAGCCCGTGCCAACGGAGCGAGGATTCTAGAAATACCGTCCGGTATCCGCGACGGCCGGGATTCGTAGTACAATTCCCCAGCTACGAATAATACGTACTATGTACCAGGCATGTCCGGACAAATAAAGATTGACACGTGGTGCGGGCGGCGCGAGCTAGCGCCCCTCAATAAATCAAGCTGCGAAGTGGTGTGACGCCGTCCATGGGCATGGCTTGACTGCAAACTCGCCAATGCTCGGGGATGGCTCAGGCACAACCTGCAGTGGCTTGGACGCAGGACATGGACATTGTTGCAGAAATGAACATTGATCAGTGAAGACACTCAAACCCTCAATGCGCAACAACATTACAACATGGCCATTAAGCATCGTTCAAAAGCAGTTTAGTCTCCGCCGGGTTGGGGCTTGGCAGCAATTTGAATCCGCTGTTCCCACTTCATGCTTTGCGAGTGCCTCTATTGGCTGCCTTTGCTGACTCGGTGCAGCGTTCCGATTTCTTCCCTGCCTTGTCGAGTCTTCCGTTTGGCTTTCGACATCAGCCCACTGGCTGTTGTGACTACCATGGTTTTTTTCATGGCCTTTTTTTTTCCGCGTGTTTCGGGACCTGAGCTGAACCAGTCGTGAATCTTGCATCTCCGGATCTCCGTTGCTTGAGAAATGTGATTGCATTGTATAAAGCCTTTTGTTTGCCTGCCGCACTTACACGATTGTGTCCTACATGAACCCAACCAACCCAAACCATCAGGCAAACCAATCACATCCTCACCTTTACTAAAGCTCCCCTTGCCCTCTCCAAAGAAGACAATCTCATAAAAAAAAATCAACACCTTATATGCGCCCCACGCTTGTCAGAATGGCCCTTACAGCCCAGCAGATAGCCACGGTCAAATCGACGGCGCCCGTCGTCAAGCAGTATGGCAAAACCATCACCACCACCTTTTACAAGAACATGCTCAGCGCCCACCCGGAGCTGAAAAACTACTTTTCTCTCAAGAACCAGCAGAGCGGCGCCCAGTCCGCCGCCCTGGCCAACGCCGTTTTTGCCTACGCCTCCTACATTGACGACTTGCCCAAGCTGAGCGGCGCCGTCGAGCGCATCGCCCAGAAGCACGCCTCCCTCTTCATCAAGCCCGATCAGTACCCCATTGTGGGCAAGTACCTGGTCGGCGCCTTTGCAGAGGTTCTCGGCAATGCCCTGACGCCGGAGGTTGCCGAGGCTTGGGTCGCCGCCTACGGCCAGCTCGCCGACATCTTCATCCAGAGAGAGAAGCAGCTCTACAGCGACGCCGGCGAGTGGCAGAGCTGGCGCCCGTTCAGGATTGCCGCCAAGGAAGCCGAGACGGACAACATCATCAGCGTGTACCTGGAGCCCGTGGACGGCAAGCCCCTGCCGGCGTTTCGGCCGGGCCAGTATATCTCGCTGCAGATCCCCCTGCCCGAGCTGGACGGGCTACTGCAGAATCGGCAGTTTAGTCTGAGCATCGCCCCCGAGGAGAACATGAAGCAGTACCGCGTGTCCGTCAAGAAGGAGGCCATCGAGCCGTACACAATCGAGGACCTCGCCGAGGGCAGGGTCTCAGGCATCGTCTGCAACAGGCTGCACGACCAGTACAAGGTTGGCGACGTGGTCAACATCAGCCCTCCCCGCGGCGAGTTCTTCTTCGACGACGCTGCCGTGCCGCCCACTGCTCCCGTTGTCTTGTTGTCGGCCGGTGTTGGTGCCACGCCGCTGGTGTCCATCCTGGACTCGATTTTAAAGTCGCCCAATGCCACCAGACCCGTCACCTGGGCGCATGCCGCTCGTCACGCCGACTCTGTGTGCTTCGGCAAGCATATCCGCGACATTGTCGCTTCCACTAGCAACGTCAGGTCCGCCTTGTTCGTCAAGAACGTCAAGGACGTGGACGAGGAGGGCAGACATTATGACTTTGCCGGCTCAATGAACATTGACAAGCTTGCAGAGCAGGGGGCTCTGTACTTGG